TGCTTCAATCTATATATTATTCTTTGGATTTTAGTTGGGAAGTTTGGATATGAACTAATTCGACTAGAACTTAGTTAAACCGGGTTTAAACCTATTAAAACATATTGCTGTGTATAACTATTTAAATGTAAGTAACTCATTGCAGTGCGACGCGACTGTATCGGTCCCCGATAGCCAAACGCCTGAACGGTAAACCCTCCTTCCAATCCTCCCTATATTTTACTGAAGTACGGCAAAACTGGATTGAGAAGATTTGGTGTATGCTACTTCTACGGCTAAGCAGGGCCGCGTAACTCACTGGCAGCGGTGTGTTGATTTGGCCCACCTGGATAGCGGCCCGCCCACTGTTATACCAACTTCTCTCTGCCGGTTGCCTTTGTTCGATGAACAATTTTTTAAAAATTATTTTACTCTTGTTGTGAGAGATGAAAATTACATAACTTCAACATTAAAAAATGCTGTATTAGAAGCTGAAATGGTAGTAAAATGGTAGTACTCCGACCTTCTGGTTTTCTTAATGGATTGATTCTGGCTTCTTGATATAAAGATTATCTAGACAGGCAGTTAATAATCGTCAAGTGTCCATGCCTTTGCAGCCAGCATGTGATTCTTTTCGAAGAATCTTGATTTGCTTCTGATATTAACCCTTGTTGGGTCATTCCATTCATGTATATTACGTGTTTCACATTCTAATAATTGTTATTCTTCAATCAAAATCCTTTACCGAGAAGTTAGGTTTGAATCGGAAGGTCAGATTTGCTGCCATTTTCATATTTTATGTTTCCGTCAGTGCGCATACTTTTCGAAGCAAAATTATTGTTTTAATTTGAAACAATGTAGCGTAATTGACGTTGTTTGTTGCATGTTTAATTGTCTTTCTTATTATGTAGTAATTCTAGAAATTTTTCGGTATTTCAATTGCAGTGTGGTACAGTTAGTTGCAGCGGTTGAAAATGTTGTGAAATGCGTAGAAATGATAATTGCGAGAATCGATGAGGTTGGTAAATATTTAGAAAATAAATATGCATTGCGTTTAATTTTTTTATTCATGATGCCTTTTATGAAGTCACTTCTAAAATCCACTTATTCAGATCTTAATCTAATGGCTTTCTAGGGGCAAAAAGTAGTTTGAAGTTTTTATGTAGTACCCAATCATTATTATTTTTTGCATGCATCCGTGAAAGCATTCATAACATCAATAAAATTATTAAAAGAAACAAAATAAAAACTGACAGAACTGTGCCTACGTTTTCAGTTTTTTCGTTTCAGTTTTTTTTTTTTTCAAGGCTTGGTAGTTCAAAACATCAAGTATAGTAAGATCTTTATCAGCTTTTCGAATAGTGGAAAATTTCTTCTCGTCTACAAATATTTATAGAGAAATTTTGCGCTAGATCTTTGTGTTCTAGGTACACGACAACCAGAACCGCGATTCAGAACTGAAAGTACTGGTACACCAGTCTCATGCAGGTGCTGTAATTGGTCGTGGTGGAAGTCGTATCAAGGAATTACGCGAGGAAAACGGAGTTGATCTCAAGGTTGTTTCAGACAGATTCATAAAAGTAATAAGATCACTTATATCTTGTATATCGCTGTAACTCAAAGAAGTGTCTTGTCATATTTTACAGGTGTATTCAGAGTGTTGTCCCCAGTCAACAGAACGTATTATCCAGATTAATGGAAAACCAGAAAAAATTGTGGCTTGCTTGGTTACAATTATCAATACGTTGAAAGAAGTATGTCGAATTTTTTATCTTACTGCTTACTTTGAATGTGTTTTGAAGACTTTTGTTAAAAGGTATCACTAATAGCAGTGGTTATCCTTGATGAATGGTGATGTATTTTGAAATGTTTATTTCCTTTGTCTAAATTTTTCTTAAAATTTTTGTTATGTTTTATATTCGTTTTTTTTTTTTTTTTTTTTTTTTTTTTTTATAAAGTATATAGAAGTTAAGGCTTCCATGGAACAAGTGAATGTAGAAGCTATGGAATAAGGTTTTCATCTTTAGATTCCAATTAAAGGACCTTCACGTCCATACGAGTCAATTTTTTTTGATCCAATGGTTGCAAATGAATATGGTGGTTATGCTGGCGATCATAGTGGACGAGGAATAAGAGGGTACGGTCCGCGAGGTCGAATTCCTTTACCTTCTTATGGATCAGTGCCACCTGCATACGATGATGGACCATTAGAGACAGCACAGGTATGCCTGCTGCCACAAATCAGATTGAAATCTATGTCGAATAACAAATGTATTTAAAATTGCTCTCTAGTCAACTAGGTTTGTAAGTATGTAACTGCTTTTGAGTAACAAGTATAAGTAACCTGCACAGTATTTTCGGACTGTTAAAATTTTTTGAGAAAAAAAGTTCATGTACTTTGATCCTACCAATAATATATTCAATCTGCACTTTTTGTTAACCTTATGGTAATATATGTGGTACTCCATTAAAATTTCAGGTAACTGTGCCGAATGAATTGGGCGGGACAATCATTGGTCGAGGTGGTGAACGTATTCGACGTATTCGCGATGAATCTGGTGCACATATCAAAATCGAGGAAGAAGATCCTAACGGTGAACGGATTATTACTATATCAGGCACACCAAGTCAGATTGAAATGGCACAGTTTTTGCTCCAGCAATGGTAATCTTTAGTCGTATTACAATGTAAAATATTATCAAGTATAAAAATATTTAATTTCGCTGTTCTGAATATGATTAATTGTGGTCAGTGGTTTCTGTAATCATCCATTTAAGAATAGGAAAACTGTGGTTCTTAATAAGATATGAGAAAACATTTTCGATAAATAACTGTTATAAAAAGTTATGCTTCAGATCAAATTGTATTAATGAACAGAGATTTTAGGAATTTCATTAACTTGTATTGATACTTTAGGAGAGGAAGAAAAGGAAAAATATCAAAAGGTTAAGATTTATTATGATTTTGAGGACTGAATAGATTCTTTTGCAAAAAGAAAATGAAAAAAGTTGCATTTGGGAACTTAGAGACCTATTTCAGTGTTCGATCTTCAGCTGCTGGACGCAAATATTTAAGCGCTGGCTGATGCTTTTGAATTGAAGGTTTCGTGTTCTTTGCGTTTTTTTCAAACGATTCAACTTTTTTAGTTATTTTTAGAAATTCAATCAAATTGTGAAATTATTTTGTATACTTTCTTGTTTCAGTAGCGGTGCTTATGTCAATCTATGGAAATGATCGATTTATATGTTTCTAATAATTTTTTCGTTATTTCCAGACTGTTAAAGGTTTTCCAAATTTTGTAATTTAATTTTAAAAGTTTTGGATTTCCTTTAAGAATCATTTGCATTTCTCAGATTTGTCTCAGCATTATAGAGTATTTGGAAATAAAAATTTTCGTTTTTAAATTGACGTGTAATCAGAAATAACTTATGCACACATCCACCATCACTATGATAAATATATATGCTTTCGTTTTAGTGAGAAGAGATTACCTCTGAGGTTTCTTAATGCAAAACATAAGTACAGGTGTGAATTTTTATTGCGCCGGGTTACTATTTAATTCAGCATATGATTCACTAAATCAGTCGAAAAACAATAATTTTGCAAAAAATAAATTCTGAAATCGTCCTGAATATCTCAGACTTTTACTGTTTATCTTCTGCGGACTGATAAGATGTCGTCCCGTTATCAGTAAGAATATTTGCAAATAGAATTCTAGTCGCATGAATTTGCTTTATCAACATTTCTTTTTACGTCCACGAATGCTATTTCCATATATACTTCTCTAATATTACATGCAGTAGACGGTCAAAGATGGCAGGTAAGGAACCAATTGGTGCGAATAAATTATCGCGCCATACCACATTATAAGTGGAAGAGATTGTAGTTGAGGTTACGTTGTAATATGACATTATAAGTTCTTTTCTTTTTAGTTTCATTATCCTTTAACGTTATTAATCAGCTTTAGCTATGACTTCTCTGGCTCAGTGATCTTCTGAAGAGTTGTGACGAGCCATTCAATACTCGGGATGATTGATCACTCATTTGTTAGATATCAGCTGATGTTAATGGTTGTGAGGAGATGATGTGCTTTCTGTTCATACCCTTGTAGAAGAAGTCACAGTTAGTTATTAAAAGTGAGGAAAATACATGCAGAATTGGTTGTTGGGTAATTGATTTTGTAGTTTAAATCGAAATTTACATTTCTTCTTGAGATTATTTTTATGCTTATTTAATCATTTGAGATTTAGTGCATCATTATGAAGCAAAGTATTGAGAAAGGCTATGAAATGATAATAAATGATATAACCCGGCAGTCCCCTTTCTTATTTTCCAGAAAGTCAACTTTGTTTAGATTTACAAGCAGAGTTGTTTTCAATCAAAAAGTTTTCAATGTCTGGTCCAAAAGAGAATGGAATTCGCGAGATTTTAGCATTAAAGTCTTTCTTTTCTTTTTTCCACACATTTACATAGAAAATTTTTTGAAACTTTTAAATCTTAATTCGAATTGAGTCGATGAGCGAGGTAATGTGAAAGGAATTTTAACATTATTTTTATATTAAATCATAAACTAATTTGAAAGTTAAATGCTGTAACTCGACTATATCTTTCACTTCAAAAATGATGTGAGTTTTTCTTGTGATGCAATGTCCTAAATCGGAATTACGAAGTGTGCAAGTAATTGTAAATCTTTGTGTCTAAAATTACAATGCGTTTTGCTGTTAATTGATATATTCTATCTTCCAATTATCGTAAAATTATGGTTGAACTTCAGAAATTTTTTACGGTTATTACTATACAGTTGTAATTGACGCTTATATTATGGTATTTTGAACTTAAGCATTTAATTTTTGAAATTATATTTGTTAATCATTGCTGTTTAATGCTACATTTGAACGAATGTGAAAAAGTAAAATCGAAAGAAGCAATTATATTAATTTAGCATCAAGGGAAAATAAGTTTTTGAAGTAATGATGTTCATTTGGATGTCATCATTCAGCATGGCGTTAATTTTTTCGATTATGATATCAGCAACAATTTGCGCAACAAAAGGGAAACCTTTGCATCCAATTGTATTAGGTAAGTATTTAAATGGTAATGTGAATTTGTGGAAGTAAAAGTACATAACTGTATAAGATGCACTGGAAAAGTATGCAAATATCTTTACTTCAACATATAATGAATGTAACTTTACAAACAACTACACTGAGGAAGATTTATAGTACCCGGTTATGGCGGGTCGCAGTTGAAGGGAAAGCTTACTGGAAAACCTGAAACTGTGCACTACTGGTGTGCTCGACAAACGGATGATTTCTTCGATCTGTGGCTAAATTTAGAGTTATTCTTGCCAACGGTAATCGATTGTTGGGTGGATAATATGAAGTAAGTTGATTTGTAATGCAAAGCATCAAGAGAATACTCATCCTCAAAACAAGCAATAAAAGAAATTCCGTGTGACTTTTATTACGAGAGTTATTTGTTACTTTACTGATATTTGAAAGAGTATTTGAAGGTTGGTATACAATAGAACAACAAACAAAACATCAAGTATGCCGGGTGTACTGGTCGAGGTGCCCGGATTCCGGAATACAAGTACCATAGAATGGTTGGACACATCAAAAGCGTCGGAAGGACGCTATTTCACTGATATCGTTGAAGCATTGTTACCATTCGGTTATCATCGAGGTAAAAATATTGTAGGTGCACCATATGATTGGAGACAAGCTCCAAGTAAGTCTTTGATGTGAATTTTCGATTTTATTTTAAGTTAAAATTTCATTTCAGAATTTCACGTCACTTCATATATCACACAAATCTGATTTATGTTTAAATCACAAGCAATTATATGAATAAAATTGTTTTAGGGGTCTACGGTCATTAAAAATCTCCAATTTCTTAAAGAATTTCTAAAAATTCAACCATCTTCAGTGCCTTCAGATTTTTATATCATAAAAGATGGAGAAAAAAACCCATGTATTCCTATAGATTTTATCACAGGAACATTAATTAAAATTGCAGATGAACTCGGACACTATTATTCAAATTTGACAAAATTGATTGAAGACATCTATCGTTCTTGTGGTCACAGGAAAGTGATCATTATTGCGCATAGCATGGGTAATCCACTGTTGCTTTACTTTTACAACAGCATCGTCACACAGGTTCCAAAAAATTTTTTCCTATTCATTCTTTAACTTTTAGCTGTGACGAATCAAATTAAAAAAATTTTTTAACACTTCTAAAAAAGGTTAAATTTTGAAAAAATACTTGAAAAATCACGAAAACAATTTTTGAAACTTACTCAACATGTACTTCCCTAAATGAAATTCAATTTCGGCAGTCCTTCTTCCTGCGAATGTGATTTGTGAAAGTGTAGCGGAACTTATTTCTGGAAGTTTCAAATTTAAGCCGCTGAATAGCCATTCTCAGGGACATGTGTATATCAGCCAAATTATCCTGGTACAGTAACACTACTACTAGCAATACTGCGTCGTCCCTTCATATATATATATATATATATAATATACCTAAACTGGGTAACATAATTGACATAATAATTCACTAGTAACTTTCTGTATTATCAAATCAAAAGATGAAAATGACAGGAATGGAAGGACAAATTTATTCATTCGCATATTTCGATAGCTGGCGCTTGGGGCGGTGCTCTTCAAATTATTCGTCTTCTTGCTTCAGGTGAATGTGTAAGTAATTATTGTACCCCTAAGTTTTAGTTTTGCGAAAACATTTCCACTTTAAATTCAATGAATTTTTTATCGTAATACTTTTGACAAATGCAATGGTCGTCACTAGAAAATTCTCGTAGGCAAGTTTTATAGCATGAAACTTATAGTAAATTAAGATGATAACATCTATCAACATATCTCGAGAAAAATGATATTGAGAAAGCAATACTTGTCTTGTGAAGCCATTTTTGATTTAACTAACTAGTTAATAATTCTACGTAGTGATATAAGCACTTGAAGAATAAAATAGAAGCTCTACAAATTGTATGACTATACTGTTAATGTCATTGCTCAAACAATTAATGTATAGTAAGAGTAAATAATGCATAAGCATTTGGTTCTTGTTTTAATGTTTTGAAACATTCTTAAATGATTGAAAACATTCCTAAGTTTACGCTGTTCTGATGCTAAAATTGCAGGCTATAATATGAACCACTACAGAATTTTACTACCTCCAAGCTCACTGCGTGAAATGCAACGATCATTCACTAGTTCGACATTCCTTTTTCCGAGCTACAATGTATGGAGTGAAAACGAAGTAGGTGCATCTCGAAATTCTCCTATTTTTTCAGTGAAAAGCCTGAAATAGAAACGAAATCAATCTGATCAAATGGAAAGAAGGGAAAAACAGTTGGTATTGTTTTGGAAAGGAATAGAATTGTAAAAATTGGCACCTAATTACATGCGAAACTTTTAATAAATTTTTAAAAGTTTGGCTAGATGTCATCAATTTATATATAGAACTGGTTAAACAGCGAATAATGAAGTTAAAACAATTGCAAAAATGGCAATGAGTAGAGTATTTAAGGATTGGGTGGAAATATTTGTTGGTTTTTCTCGTCAATTTATTAAAATTAAACAAAGTTCTCCTGGAGAAATTTTAAAATATATTGTTGAATAATTTTCTACAGGTGCTGGCAACAGTTAACGATAAAAACTACACTCTGAAAAATGTGGAAGAATTCTTTAAAGATATTGGCTATAAAGTTGGCTGGTATCAGTATCAGAATACAGCTCATCTACTTGGCGATTTCCAGGCACCAAATATTGAGGTATAATTTAATCTAAAAACATGCAAACCGATTATGATTTCATTCAAGATCGAACATTTTAGATCATATTGAAATGCTTTACTCTCCCTTCAGGTGCATTGTATTTACGGGTATGGCATTGAAACACCAGAATCTTTCGAGTGGTCCGGCAGGTGGTTTCCGGATTACCAACCGGATACCACTTATGGTGATGGTGATGGTACCGTTAACCGACGTTCTCTAGAAGCATGCAAGAAATGGATTGGTAAAAACGGTGGCAAAAAGGTATGAGGTTTAGCACGAGCGAATCGAAATTTTTTATTCGATTTTTAGTTTTAACTTCTGGAACAAAATTCAATTATAAACGGTCATTTACGGATTAACCTCGTTATTTCCTCTAAAATTTAAATAAAATGTCGGTGGATTTTAGATTGAATTTTGAAAATACCAATAAACTTTCTTAAAAGTATTAACCAAAAAAAAAGCATAGTGAAGTCCGCAACAAATCCTCGGTTTGTACTTCAATATCGCAAACATTACAAATTTCTTTTTAATAATCTTCTCTCACTCCAAATAGTATATTATTTAGACCTTTTGTTAAGCTAAAATGACTAATTCAAAGAATGTATCAAGGTAACATGATATCCATCATAAGACAGCTCGTTGCAGATATCTCTGTATGCGTTCAAAGGTGGCGAGCATGTGGACATTTTGGCACAGGAGGAAGTAATCGAATTAATTAAAAAGATTGTCTTTATGCATAGCTAATGAAGGAGTTCTTATCAAGATTTCGTCCTTGTTTAATTAATAAAAGAGTTAGAATTACTTGAAATATCAATTGTTTACGAACACTACAATGTATGTGTATTTGTTCGTCTATTTCGGAATTTATCAGAACCTGAATGCTTAGCAATAAACAATTAACTAAGCATTGCGAAGCATTTCAGAGTGTATGTCAAGATTGCACGTGAACAAGTCTTATACCACACACTCGGGAAGATTTCGACCATAGTTATCAGGTCGTAATCAGGGTTATCTGTGGCTCACTATTACTATAGCAGTCATGACTCACCATGACAAAGCACTTGGTAGCTTTTGATGGTATAGCAAACTGCCTGGCGGATTTGAACCATACATCAATATTTGCACACTTTGGAACGTTCAGTCGCGGAACCACGCTAACAAGTGAATGGGTTCACTTTAGGTTTCCTATTAACATATCGAATATACCGCTAAGTGTAATATGGGAAAGGCTAAGAATGAATTCAAAATGATTAGATAAGATTATCACCTTATCATTGAGTCTACTCGATTAAATTGCCAAAAAAATGCTGCTTGTACGGTGTATGATGGATATATTAATGGCAGAAGGTCATTTTTGGAATGAAAATGAATTCTAAACAAATAAATAATTTCAATTTGCTTTATCAAAATTTATTGGAATTTGACCTATCAAAATATAGTGGAGTTTTTATGATCGAATTTAAGAATTTATGAATTTTGATTCCTTCCTTATCGCTTACTTTTTCCGTAATTAACTGATATTTTGGGATTAATCTTCAATTTCGAATTTTGGCAATTCTCATATAAATAATATATTAAGAATCATTAAATATGATTCAATGAATGCAGAATTCGATCTGTAATTACTTCATTTTCTCCCTTAAAAATAAATGAAATTTTTAGTTCCTTTGTGTTAATATGAGTTCTATGTATTTGAGAATCAAAATTCGCGATTCTTTTATAGAAGCAATTTTTATTGTTTTTTTTTTTTTTTTTTTATTATCGTCATGTAACACTTCTTAGTTCATAGAGCGACGATAGGTTCTTCTCGTTCATCCACTTTGTCTAAGGATTTTTCGAACCAATGTTTCCGTTTTTTTTTCATCTTTAATTCTAGGGATATAGCATATTTATTGATTTGCTGATAAATTTTCCATACGATAATTCTATTAAAACCCTTCTCCACTTCCACGTCTATTAATTTTCCTTTTTCTTGCTTATTTTCACACATACAAAAAATTTTCATTCATTCACTAATGCAATTTTTTTCTTCTTGTGGGGTCCTTCTTATATTTTTTGGGAATTATGTTTAGCTGTGTACGTTTTCTAAAGACTAATTAAACATTTATTCGTATTTCTCAAACATATCAAAAGTTTTGGGAATATTAGCTATGCTTGATAAATTTTTCCTTTGTATTTAACTTATAGAGAGTAAATTCGCCCTGTTACTATTTGTTATTTATAGTGGGTGTAATTAAAGAAGCATTAAGTAAGATAAAATCAATTGCATGTAGGATTAATTATCAAAATTTACAGAGATTAATAATCAAATATTGAGTATACCTTCTATTTTCATTATTTCTCTTTTTCATAATTTTTTACATATAACTCATTTTGAGAAAAGAAGATTGATTTTATAGCTAAAAATTTTCTCGATGAAAATAATTATAGAAATAGTTGAATTACCAGGACAATATATTGTTTGCTCATGGAATCAGGCGATTAATTGAAGGAATTTTTTTTATTTTTTATAGGTATTGTATGATACTATCAGCAACTACAAATAAGTTTAGTTCGCAGGAACATCAAAATATGATATGTTCAAATAGTGTTTGATAAAAACAAACTGGTGTTGCGAATCTAGAGTTTATAGAAGAATTTATTATCATGATTATGGGCTTAACTGAACTTACATTGTGATATTGCTTTTTTGCAATTCTAATTAAGAGGATTTCAAAAATAAATCAGACTGGAAGATGTTTACAATAAGGGATAATGTTATTTCAATGTTACAAATTGCTTTGATTATTTGAAATATTTTTGCAAGATGAAACATGTTGATTCTTTTGATTACTTTTTGTGTTGCGAATCTTTCAGTTATTCAGGTTTTCTGAACTGAATTTTTGATGAAAGCAACAAAAGTATAGCAAAGATATAACTGCCATTAATTATTTCTATTAATTCAATTGCTTTATCGAATTTAGCTTCAGTTTTTCAATCAGTTGCTCTCCTTGTAAACTTACTTCTTCTGAGGAAAATTTCTTGTTTCTTACTTTGAGTAAATATTTCAAATATGCACTGTTTCTTTCGATATTAAATCTACTTACTATATTTGCTTTAAATTGAACAGTTTTCGAATCGAAAATTTCAGATTATACGAAGCAATTTTCTATCGACTTTCTTACCTTTACAATTGCTATACCAGTAATAATATGACCATTTATTAAGAATGGTTCGACGAATTCACAACTTGATTTTGATGTCGTTTCATTTTGTTTGTTAAAAATAAGGAAAGTTTGTAATCCATTTATAATAACACTGCCTTCATATATCGACATTCTCAATTTTTTTGTATAAGCAGTTTGTTATTTCTTGTTGTCCCATAAAGTAATGCTAATACTGATTATAAACTTCTCACTTTATGCTAAGCATAGTCAAAATCTGATATTAATCCCTTCCTGTCGTAAAAGAATATTTCCTTTTCATTTTCTAAATTCCTCCATAAATGAGAATATATTGCAGAAAGTCTGAAAATAGTCAGGAACACAAGAACTCAATTTTATTCTGTCTTATACATAATACAGTAAATGATCTCCATCAATGTCGTTTCAGTGAATTTTAACCTTACAAAGAAGAGAAAACGAAAGCAATAATTGCTGAGTTATGCTCAGTGCAATGCAAATATCTTCCAGAAATGTTTAGTCAAAACTTTATTTAAAAAAAAAAAAAATTTCTTAATTGTTCGCGTCGTTTTTTCTCTCAATGTGAGAAATAGTTTAGTAAAAATCAGTCATACTATGGTATGAAAAAGTACGGAAGAAAAAATCGCTTTAAGCAGAAATTGTGTCCAAATTTTACAATAAAAAAATCTATATTGAATGTTCACGAGGGAGGTTACCATCATACGTTCTGTTACTTATAGAGAGTTATGGATGACAAAAGTTTTAATTTGTTTGTTAATGTGAATTGGAAAGGTTTCGTACGGATATTCCGCAATAGATTCACTATTTTTGACTGTAAATAAGCAAATAACATCCATGAACTCTATAATACCCTATTTAGAAGCTTTTGATATCGTAACAATGAACGATATCTGAAAATAAGAGGTAAATAATGCAATTGATATGACAATAGTTTACTTATTTATCACTTACTGATCATCGACCGACTAATTTTTGTAGCGTAGCATTGGAAAAGTGAATGTTGGCATTACTACTAATGATAATAATACTAGTAAGATTTTATCAACAAACTTTTGATATCATACATATTATCACCAATAATATATTCTTTAGAAATATCAAATGGGGAATAGAAATTGGTTGTTCTCTGTTCGTTTGGTCATCGACTGTTCAGGAGTAATAATAGGGACATACAAGGAAGATGTAAGAGATGGAAACGATTGTATTATTGGGTGCAAATATAAATTTGATTTATATATTTGAATTTATAATAAGTCTCATTTACCAATTATGTGATCGTGGATAGGTTACCAAGGGTCGTGACAGAGTGTATAATATAAAAATAAATTGGGATATATTAAAAAGCATCTGAAAGCATGTAATATTTTCTCAAATATGCAAATAACAAACATTCTTTATGCTAATTATATTGAAATATTTAAATATCTCCTTGAGTTAGACATTTCTTCTAGAACATTATTTTCTTATAAATGATTCTCTTCATTTTTTTCTTACTTAAATTGGTTTATTGAACTGTTGAATTTCTGCTTAAAATGCAAATGAAATAAAAAAAAAAAATGTTAAGTATTTGGTGTTTGGCATACGTAATAAGTAGTATTATAGCGAATTTTACGAAGAACATTGTAAAATTTGTTGATATTTTAGCACCAGTAAGTCTTAGTTCCATGATGTGTTTTTGTAGCTGGTGAATATGTGAAACTTTGCTAATTTTTCAGAATGAATGCATACTCTTTTCTTTCTTCTCTTTTATGGTGATAAATTAATCGCGGTGAGAAATAATGTTATAGGAAGTGCTCCAAATTTAGCAGAACATTATAAAAGTATATTTTTCAGCTTGAAAGCTCTCTCCTAAGCCACTTGAAGACAGTTGAGTAGAATGGAAAGAACTCAGAGGGCAAAATGCCAAGGATAAATGTAAAAGAGACCGCTACCCACGGAATAGGAATTTAAAGTAGAAGAAGCAAAATGGATCCTACACCCTGCTAGAGATATTAAGAAAATAGAGTGAGTCTATCAGTCAGACAATAAGGAAGATAACGAACCAAGGTATGGCTGGCACGAAACAACCTATGAACTCATCCCGTAAATTTTAATCTATGCAGCAAGTATATATCAGTGTAGTAATTAGAGCAAGTATTAACTCACCTGTTATATAAATGATTAATAAACAAAATTTAAGCTTATTTTCGAAGATCGAAGACGTTAATAATACCGGTTCCTACCATGTACATAACACTGCTGCGGCAACACTGGAAGTATTTCACTCTTCCGATTCCGGAGCGATTCTGGAAACAGTTGCAAATATCACAAGCAGAGCTATACACGATAGTCCAAGCAGAAAGAAATTACAACATCGTAATTTATAACTTCAATAACATTGGATAGGCAAATTGTGTATACCACACGTTCATTCTTATTGATGGAATTACTTTTATGTATGAAACTATAAAACTCCTTTATGAAATAAGGAAGGGTAATAGTGCTCCTATATCAAACAATTTGGGCAACAATATTTTCTGCTTGTTGCATTGAGGGGCATCTGCAGCAGGTAGTTCGGAAGACTAAAAAGGTGTTATTCATACCTCAAAACCACCTAAACGGGATGGTATGCACTTTAGAACCATACTCCTTATACATTTGATTCAATCTAAAAAAGATTCAGCTCATTAATTACATTATATACACCGCATACTCTCTAATTTCAATGCCTTTTGGAGAAAAATATTATTCTTTTTGTTATTATTATTGTTAATAAAACTAAATAAAATCAATAAAGTTGATAATAATAGTAACAATAACGACAATAGTAATAATAATAATAGTAAAAGTGATATATTCACCAGATATAAATATATCATTAAAGGTCATTTCTGGAGTAAAGAATTTAGAATGGTTTAGTAGTGATTAAGCAGTGCTAAAAACTTGTCTAACATTTCGATGTATGCATTTCATCAAATTTGAATTCAATTTTCTCGCAAAAGACCCAGTAGCATATGCAGTAGGCGCGATCTGATATAGTGCTAAAAACATTTTTTGGTTAAACATTAGATATAATGAAATTAAGCAGATTAAGATGTCAGTCAGCTGACAAATTAAAGTGATAACTACATACTGTATTTTAATAAAATATCTCGCTCAAACTACCTGGAAGTTACTTACATGATATAAAATTATGATTTCTCTCTTATCTGTTAACATTTCTATGGGCATAGCTTTGTAGAATTGATTAAATTACCAAAAAAGACAACACCTGACGGATATACGAAGTAAAGATAAATCAAACAAAATTTTGCTGTATTTATTATCAGTCCTAATTGTTTCTCATTTTCCTGTTACTTAGAATGCAGGGGAAAGACGTTTACAAAATTACTTCCTGCTTTTCACATTCAATTAGCTGCTACTCTACTTTAAAAACATATTAAACGAAACTAGCTGTTAAAATTCAAACATTGCTATTGATATATTGCTGTCTAGTAACCACAGAATTGAATCAAATCTATCTTTGAAAACAAAATTAACATAAGGTTAACTGCTCTTTATATTTTACATTTTTACTGAATATAAAACAGTTCTATGAATACGACTGAAAAAGGCACTTCACAATAAGAATGAGATCAACATCAGCAAAATCCTCTACTTCAATCTTCGGTATAAAATGCTATTACCAATCTTATATATCATAGAAAAATGAATTGTCAAAATAATAGGATGGATGAGTTTACAATAGAAGTGATTATAGATTTCTTTGTAGTCATTTAATTGGTATTATTGATAAAAATTTAGATATTTAACATTAATTCTGAAAAAACTGCCAAAAAAATTCCCACTACATTTCAATTCACCTTATATCATTCATGTTATTCCTCTAGCTAAATCATCTTATTTCAAAATGGTCAAAAGAAATGATAAATTCAACTCAAAAAAAAATGCACATTACAAAAATAAAGAAATCTCGCAAATATTTGAACATTTATGGCAAAAAGCAAATAATTACAAATCATGATATTAATTGCAACACACTACTTAAATGCTCACTACAGATTGGAACCGCTTCGGTATATGGGTTAGAAACGCATGCATCAAAAAGACGAGTATGTTCATTATTACCAAAATTACCACATTGGCTAATAAATTCTTCAATTTCGGGGTAGTACTGTGCAAACCACCAGAACAAAATTTCTGGATTTAGTGCAGCAGTTTTCCGATTAACCATATGAGAACATAGTTTTGCAGCCTGCAAAATATCTCGTAAGTTTAGCAAGATGAAAGTCAAAAGTTATAAAACATTTTTTCCCATGTTTCATGCCTCAGTTATTAAAGCACTATTCAATGATAATAATAGTAATCTCGATATCATCAATAAATAAACCCATATACCAAACACAGTTATTTGAGATTTATTATTTCGAAATGAACTTTGCAGGCATTCAACTTTTTCTTTGAGAAAGTCACAGAAAATTAATAAATATATAATAATAAAAAGAGTTCCAAAATATATATGACAAAACAAAAGAGAACTAACTTTTTCTCTAATCGCTTCATTTTGACTCTTCAATAGCACAACGATGATTTTATATAGCTGAATATCTGGAGTACCTAATAATTAGAAGTTTAACATTATAAACACTGACAAAAAAGATCATATGCAGAAATCAAACTACATATTAAAAAAAACCTCTTTTCAAAAGCAATTCCAGAGCCTGAATAGCTATTGCCTGAATTTTTTGGTCTTCGTTAACGGCGCTGCTATACAACCAATCAAAACACCATTCATTATGATTCAGTTTTATAAGGAGCAGGTTTGCCAAATGCCGATTACTTTGTCTATAATAAATTAAATTTTCAAAAATACAAGCAAAAATAACTCAGGAAAAATAATGAATGCATTATACACAACTGTTGCAGATTTAGAAATTTTAAAACCATAATTTTTTAAATCACCATTTTTTGCGAGAAATTTCTTATGACGCATCAGAGTGTAACTTTTCACACTACCACAATAAATTAAATTTCAAAATACATGCAACCTTGTCTTCATCAGTTCATGAAGGAAATGCTTTAGAAAACCAGTGTCAAATAATGCTGAATGTGTTGTTGTGCTATTCAAAAGCAGTGTCAAAATCTGCAATATGCCATTCATATTAACATGATAAGTTTGGAAGCAATTTTCTCAAAAAGATAAAAAATTTTACTGTTATAAACATTTATCACCTTCACTTTCTACCAGTTCAACCTTTATTTTTCTCTTTCGAGACGACTTACATAATGTTGTACAAATGGCCCTGAATTTCGAATATCTTGGACTGCTAACTGTATCATTTCAATTTCCGTAATCTTCATTGTAGTCGAATTCGATAGTACTCGCCAGAATTCAAGGCGTAAAGGTCTACTATTCATCAACAGATTCTTGGTTTCAAAAGAAATTTTGACATCTAAAATAATCTCCATTAATTATCAAGTCTGATTTGATGTTTTTCCCAAACCGAAGTGATATAAAATGTTCTTGAATAAAAGATAGCACAGTTAATAAAATAGAAGCTAAATTATAAACTAACAAGAAAAAAATCAGATATATGGTAGAAAAAGCTATTCAACTGGAAGTTGAATATTTTAAAAATGTTAAATAAATTAGCTATTTTTATAGTAAACGTAACTTCAACTTCTCTAGCAATCCATTTTGCTAAAGGTCTGAAAACCAGTACTGCATCTGATAAAACAAATTTCTCCGCGAATAACGCCGTAAACTGATATCTGGTTTTAAGAAGCAATGTTAAAAATAAAAACCTATTGTAATCACACCTGAAAAAAAAGAAATAAATCACCTCAATAGAAGTTAAACAGTAATATCATATTTGCAACTGACTGCTGATTTTTTGAGTGCTAAGAATGAGATGATTTTCTAATAATAATTTGTACATTTCGTATCAAGTGACTTTCAATTTCTTAACTCTAACACCGAGAACAACTTTGGGTAGAGTTTCTACTGTGTGAAATGAAATCTTTTCGCATGCTTGGAATATGATTTCGTCATAAGAATATAAAAATATACCATCTTTTGAAATGCTTGTCATTTTTGACTCTTTTTATTATCGATTTTATGCAGCTTTGTAATTCACACCCATCAAACGCGACAGCAAGTTCTAACAACTGCAATTTTACTTTCTTACAGCATAAGTGTCAGCTTTTTAAATTGGAAGATATGCCCCTTGATTTGTCAGTTGGTAATCTAAAGAAAAACAATGAGGATAAAAGCCATATTTCCTTTATCTTGTTTAATGATTTAATCAGTATTAAACAAATAAATACCATAAGAATAATTGCACAAATTTCATTTTGGGTACATGAGATAAGATCAATATTTGAAATCCATTTCAACAAGAAATGAGCATCCTGAAACAGGTGTAGTAGAGGCAAGAAACAAACAGTTTGCCTGAATATCGAATAAGAAAGTTGAAATACCACTGCATGACTAAGGAGAATGACTTGAAAACAATTAATTAGATATCTAAAAGAGCAATTAGTATTGGACATATTTTGTACTTATAAAAAATAAACAACGCATAAATGCCATCTGAATGATTCCATACCTGAACTTCGCAAATAGAAATAAGTGTCGCTGCAGACAATTCACGCAGTTTCATAGAGCGACATGATAAAGAAAATTTTAGAAGTGGAAGGATATAAGTAGCAAGTGAATAAATGTTATGTCGTGGAGAGGGGAACAGATGGATGAGAAGAACCAACACAGCGAACATCCCCAGTTGCGAAACACATTTCTCGTTTTCATAAAACTGTAGATGTAATAAGTCATATAATGATGGAAACCTAAATATCAGAATTTATTCTGTTAAATTCTTTCATATCACTTCAGTTTGTTAGGCATAATTTGTTAGAACAGCACATTTATCATATATGTATATCAATAAATTACATCAGCTGAAATCAATAACGCAGAAATTACTGGAGATGACAAGTATCTAATGCATATCCCAGATATATTACATGTTGCTTTGCAACAAATACTACCAAGAAATTTCCAAGTAATATTGAAAAGAAAATAAAAATCAATTGTACTGTTAGCGAGGTCAATCAGCAATAAGCAGAATAAACTTTTTGAACTTGGATAGAAGTTATTTTTAGGATTATTACCAGAAAAATCTCATCTGAATCAACCAACCTGGTGAAGAACTCAAAAGAAGACAAGCGATTTTTTTCATCTGGATGGAGTGATAGTTGCATACTTCGAGGGATACCAAACATTCGATTAATCAGAACAGCGAATAGCTGTGATGCAGCACTTCGTACTGTCCAACTACTAGAACCAAAACAAGCAAAACAGACGTTCATTGCGGGTTCTATATAACAGAGAACTGCTTCTGATAAGCGACTGTTTAGAAAAATTGCTCGCATAATATTGATACTATGAACTCTGAAATGTCCGCAAATTTCAAAACGAATATAAAAACAGTCATCGGTGATTTAAGAACAAAATAAAAACGAGAACTAATTATTTATTAATTTAAGATTCCCGTTGTTCAAGTATTTCACGGTATTCAACAGTGATAAGAGAATAAGCATATCAAAATATTTCTGAAATCTAAACTATGTGATGATACATTTCAACGTATCGACTAATTGAGATCAAGAGATTTATAAACATTTAATGACTAGACTTGATGTCTATAAAAATGTCCCATACATTGCCAAAATATTAAAAGTTCTCCAATAAAGAATTCAACATAAAAACTCACTGTGCTTTATAAGATCTTCCCTTATTTTTAAGCATAAATATCATCGTTGTTTTCAGACATTGTGCACCATTTATGACTGGTTCCTTTGTGAGAATTGAAGCAATCAAATGTGGCAAACCAGCACTTCGACGCGTTGCACATAACATATCTAGAAAGACACTTTAAAATACTACGATATCAACAGAACTTGAGATAGTTTTAAAAAAAATTAATGTAAATTATATATCATACAAAATCTGAAGTTATCTAAAATACAAACAATGTTGGCATTATAGTTTTTCAATTTGAAAATCAAAGCGCTAAGAGAAGTGTTTTTCTTCATCAAATGATGAAGCATTGCGATTGCCAGATAATGATTTAAAATTAAAACCGTAAGTCACTTATTTGAAAACATACTGGTAACAGATAACTGCTTAACCAATGTAACATATCAAATTCAACATCAGCAATGAATCTTGCTCTCAACAAATTATTCTCTGTTGGCCAAATTCATAGTTTGAACCACGAAACTTACGAAAAACATCAAACAACCAACTCTCTTTGCTATCAATTAAGTCTATGATTTGCCTTATCCACGCATCTGGCTGAGGTAAATCTGCAAATTCTGGAATGCCGGCTAAAGAAAACGACCAAAGTTTTGCACATAATGCTTCGAACCCTTCAACTGATGCTCCTACTGCACCAGAATGTTTACATTCCGTCAGCTGACGCCAGTAATAATTGCATATACATCGAACAGTTTCCGAAGAAAGTATAGAATTTCCAAGCCACTAAAGTTCAATTCCACGGATTTTTAAATAAAGCTTTAAGTAAAGCTGAAATAATTTTCTTCCTTCAATAAGATCAAGAAATCACCTACAGTAACATCATATCATAAATGAGTAATTTCAGGTAAGTGTACATATTAACAATGGAAGCATACTTTCTACAATGCAAAAAACAATTAGCGGAAAAGAATTACCAGGAACTGCAAAGTCTTAAAGTCAAAAGATATAAGTGAGCGAACCTTTGTGATTATTATATAAAATATTGCAGAAACGTATTTGTGTGAACGCCAACAACTTGCTAGTAATGCTTGACAGAAATCTGCACTATCTTTTAATTTTTTGGAGTCATTAACATCTACTGAAAATGAATTTTACATTTTTAGCATTCATCCAAATTGATCAACTTAGAATAATCGCTACAATCCAATTCATAAAAAGGGGTGCAGAATTCAAATGTTCAAAACGACAATTTTAAGAACATCAAAAAAGAAAAAAAAATGCTCGGATGACTCACCAATGATGTTTACATGATCATCAGGAACGAAACCTTCCGGCGACATACTGTTTACAATTGGCGATACCAACTCACTTATTTGAAAACAAACCGGTAACAAATCATGATTAACCAATGTAACACACCAATCGTTCTTTCTAAATTGATACCAAACCTAATGGATATATATATAAAGCAAATGATAATTTGAAGCGACGTTTGCTGAATCTACCCGAAAACAAAAGGTTATGATATAGTTCACTAAATGGGAAGACCGGATATTATAAAATTTCTTTAATTTCATTACACTAAAGATATACCGTATGTCGAGAGATCATCACTCTCAAAAGTTCAAGTGGAATAAAACAAAAAAAGGAAAATACAATGCACAATGAATCTCACACGGCGGACTGAAAATCCAAAAATTCCAGTGCGACACCAACTGCGCTTAATATGGAATAGACGAAGCCTTGGTTGCTTGCTATCATTAGAAAATCCTCTGAGATAAGTTTTACTCGATCTTTACACAAATTAAGAAGGTATTGAAAAACACTCTGCAAGCTATCAGGGTTTTTTTTAAGATAAAAGCGCAACCGATAACTGGACGTGAGCGTAAATAGTGACCGAATGGAGAACAACTGCTGCTTCGTTTCTGCGAAATATGAATCAAAATTCTGCAAGTTAAACTTTTTGCATATTAAATAAAGTTTAATTGTTTTAGATACAAAAGCTTAATCACAGGTAATAGCTTCAGCTGGAAAAGAAACTAAAACTTTGAATATAGAGCATAAAAATTTTCTATACGTATAACATACACAATAGAAACATGGTATGATGGAACAAAGTACATCAAGATGCTCATGTTAATTGCAAGCTCCATATTCTATTGATTATTCTGACGTTGACTGCAATGCAGATTCTCACCAGGCATTCCAACAAGATATAAGAACTTACAAAATCACGAATTTCAAAAAATGATGAAGACAGTAAACGAAGAGCTGAAATTTGACAGATCTGGTATGAGTCATCCAAACAACGTATTACATGATAAATCTGCTCCTCTGTTGGCTTTAGTTTTGATGACAAAAATTTGAAAAACATATCTGAAAGGCGATCCAACTTAAAAAGAGATACATTATATCGAAGAGAATTCCCAGTGAGCCAAGAAGGTGTAATAAAGCACACTGCTGGACACTAAAAACACATCTTCAGCTGATCAGCCTAACAATGTGAATTATTTTCCGGAATTATAAATATAGAATGATTCATTCTCATGCACTGACTCATGTAGTAGCTATTGTGCCACTGATTCAAATCGCCTGTTATTTGAATTTTTAAGTTGGATTAGGTCCCAAATAAATACCTTTGTCATTATTAACTAAGTAGTTTTCCAGAAAAAGATATTCCAGCATTTGAAGAGCCATTATACGCCTGTTGAAGTTAGCGTATTGCACTAAATTTTGGAAACAGAAATCACGCAACCAGCAGATAAAATTCACATATGGATTTAACTCGTTTTCATCACTACCACTTTTCAAAATATTTTGGCCATTTTCACGAATCCGAATTAATATCTGAACAGAACTATTACTACTTGAAATTAATGGAAAATAGAACTAAAATACAAATGTCACATACAAAACAAAATTCATCCATTATGTAAAGTTCCTTTTCAGTAAGACATGACTGCAAACGGGAACAAAGATTACAGCGAAAAATGGTCTTGTTCTTGTTTTTAATTCAAGTACACATGGTTTTTATTGAACAGCAACCTTTTGTAATTTTTGAAATGGTAATGGTAAGAAATGGTAAAATATTTTATCTAATATCTAAATTATATATATACCTGAATTAAAAACAAGAACATCTGTTATTGAATTCTTCAAAGTTGCAGAATTAAGAACTTCCTAATGTAGCCAGTCAAACAAAACTGCTGAATGATGTGGAAGGCAAATAGACTGTATGTAGCTGCAACTTCTAAATGTAGCAAGATTTGATATGTCCGATGAACAGTTACTATGAGCATTTACCTTCTTCAAACCAGACAATATTGTCAATCTGACAGCAGGTGACTGTTCAGTCATATTGGTCGCCAAAAAGCATTTACATAGCAACAACTGGCGGCTAGAAATTGACACTGCCAATTTGGGATGATCACAAATCAGACTCCAAGCCATTAAACGGATCTAAATATTAAACTATGCAGAGAAACTAGGAAATAAATGGTATGATTCCGATAAACCTTCATCAGTAATGCGATCACTGCTTGGTAAGGAGTATTATAGTCTGGAGTGTTAAATTTACCTCACATTTCGTTTTTTATATTGAAAAAGATAAGTAAAACATTTAGCAAAGTACTAACTGATATGATAACTTATACGGATTGAGATTACAAGGTGCAAAGAAAAAGTGAAAACTCCATTTTTCTTTTGTAAAAACTCATTTTTTTCCCTCAGAAAAATTAACGTCCACAAAATAAATTAGAAATTTATGTTTGTTCACCTGTCCAATAGCATTTAGTAGTGCGGAAATTACTATACTTTCATCAATGAATGAAGTCCACTCCTGAATATTTCCATCCCTTTTCTGATGGAAAAGACAAAATTTAGCAATATAAAGTGACGTTTCGAGACTGACTGTACCATATACACTATCTACAATATTTAGTATCAATTCGCAATGTTGCAGTTACTTATTAAGTTATATAAACACATTTGGAACATCTTGGTTCCTTAATTGTAACTTATTAACAATAAAACAGTTATAAAGCGATTACTTTTACCTAAAATCTACAGTAAAATATATCTGAAAATAATTAGAAATGAAATACAGTCCAATACAGCAAACCTGCTTGAAATATTTTCAACTCTTTAAGTACCCACTCCAACAGCACAGAATTTTTTGAAAATTCAGGTAACAATCGTTTCTGAACAGCACTACAAATTGCTTTTTTTGGTGATTGAAGTGATGCGCGTAATAAATGACTGTGCAGTTGAAGTCGATCCGAGTTATCCAAATTCTGGACAGCATCAAAAGCAATGAGCTCACTAGCCTGCAATATTAATTATGTTGAATAAAAGTAGACTACATAGCCATTTTTAGATATGGACATGCAAAAAAAATGTCCATATCTAAAAATATTTGCATATTATACAACGGAAAAATCCTTCCACAGAAAGCGAATCGAAATTAAAAAACAGAATAAAAAAAAAAAAACACACTTGATGTCTGAACAAAATTTCTCAAGATTGCTCATTATTTGTTTTTATTATTTAAAGAACTTATACTATTTACTTACCACAGCAACTAGAGTTGAATTCGATAATGAAGAGTATATTTCCTTACAGAAGTTATCCGTGAGAACTTCCGAAGACGATGCCACTATTTTATTATATGCCAACTGAAAGATGCTAATCAAGAGGAAGTTTGTCACTGACAAACTTGAATTATTCAATAAAAAAATACCAGAACGGTTCCTGAACAAACAATAATTCTGCAACAGAATACTTTTAAGATAATAAATAAATAATGTTGCATCTCTGATGATGCTGCGGAAAATCTTGAATAAAATCATTTTCAAAAAAAAAAAACATACGATACACCGGTAACGACCACGACAAGATGATGGTAAATCAGTCAGGAATCTTCCAACATTTTTAGCCCATAATGAAAGACAGCCATTCGACATACAACGGGTAAGATGCAAGTTCATTAGCGATTCGAAAATGCTGACACAATCGTGACATACTGCTTCAGAAACATAATCCCAGAATCTGCAGACAAAATCTAACAATTTATCCTCTTCGTATTCTTTCAAGACCCATTTTTCTTCTCTGAAACATATGGAAGTTTTATTCTTAATTATCGACCAGCTATTTCGTTGGATTTTCCATGTAAAAATTGTTAGCTTATGAAAATTTAAGAAAAGTTCACTTCCGGAGTGTTAATCATTTTAAGTGTTAAACTTACTTCAGTATGACCATCAATCTCGCCAATGCATTTGATATATTTAACATTGCCCCTGCATTACTAGAATACCTGGAAAGGTCAAATTATTAGCAATGTTTAATTAATTGATTTTTAAGTGTTTAAGTCTTAAATCTTATACAAAGCTTTTATTTTCGCGGTAGCCTTTTCCGTTTTACATTGTGCAATCATTTTCACTGCTATTAGTATCGTTGCTACTAAAATATTGTTATATTATTAACATGAAATTCAGGAACGATTTCAACTTCTGCAATTAAAATTACTTTTGGGAGAAAAGCAAAATTGCCGGGATGCATGCATCCACCAGAAAGCATTCATGTTCAGTGCAACATGTTTGAAACCAATCTTCGGTTGGCTTCTGGAAAAGAAAAGCAAAACAGGAAGTCGACAAAGTATTGAAGCTGTCACATCTTGACTTCTCACCATTAACGGTCATCCTACAACAAATTTTACATTTTACTTGGTCACAGCAACGTAAATTTACTTGGTCTACAACGACCGCCAAAGCATCCATCATCACTTGTACCTTCTACTGCAATACTGGCGGCAAAATTTTTTGATTCGTATCGAGCAGTTCACTTTATTCGTTGGGCCGCGTTTTTGTTATTATTACGGGTTTTGATTGTTTTACAAACTGAGTTTGTTGCTTGTTCATTGGAAGTTTACTGCCAGTTATGAGACCGTTGGAGATTCTCTAAGCTCTGATGTCAGGAAAGCAAGAAAGTAATTCACGGACTGTCTAAATTGGTTGAATAACTTCACAGCTCATTCACCTGATGCATAGTAGAAACTTCCTCAACGGTGCTTAATGTCACTCATACACTTTCTAATCTATTCTTTCCATCTCGATCACGCCATTTTCCAGCTAATTAAACTTCAGCCAACAAGGCTTTCGGGACGATAATGACCAGAACTCTCCATATGAATCTGATTGTGGCAGTGGATGGCTGTGGAGGAATCGGACGAAATGGTGGAATGCCATGGTTTCTACCTGCAGAAATGGCTCGATTTGCAAAGCTGACAACATTAACAATGGACAGCGGGAAGAAGAATGCCGTGATAATGGGTCGAAAGGTTTGGGAAAGCATACCGCCAAAATTTAGGCCACTGAAGAATCGTTTTAATGTTGTACTCAGTAGGAAGGTGCTTGTTTTCGCTCGTTAATTTTATTCCCGAAATTAAGAACAATGTAAAGTGTGCCTAAACAAAAGTTTTTGAAAGATTCTGTAGTCTTTTACGTGATCTGATCCTTTCAGTTCCTTATGAACTATTGAAAACTGCTGGAGTCGCATCACTTAGCCATGGTTTTTCTGGTAAGGTGGTCCTCTTCACTTTTGTTGTGACAGCCATGTGAAAACTCATTATGTTTTTGATTCGTATCGAGCAGTTGACTTTATTCGTTCATTACGTCTTCATTACGTCAGCACGTATGCTGTAAGGGTTTACTACCTATCTTATTTAGGCCTTCAAGAACAGTCGTGTGATACCGCTAGTTAGACCATTCCATTTATTTCTTTAGGTTATGGGTAATCAGTTGGAATCAAATTTTCAGTAGGATTTGCTATACTTCGCTTGATAAAATCTGCTCTAATTCTACTTTCTCCACAATTTTTGTAGATAAAAGAAGAGTCAAATGAGAATGTAGTAGTGGCTCGAAGCTTCGAAAGTGCAATTAGCCTACTGCAAGATATGGAAAATATTGAGACGATATGGAACATTGGTGGTCGAGAAGTTTATGAATTAGGGCTTAATTCACCATTTTTACATCAGGCAAATTTTTTATTTCCTAGAGTTCAAAACTTTAATTTTTATATGTCCTACTTTCCTGTAAATTATGACGTTTTATTTTTGTTAAGTTCAACTTATTTCTTATATATATGAAAATTTTGCAGATGTATATCACCCGTGTAGAGGGCGATTTCTTGGCTGATGTCTTCTTTCCTGAAGTAGACTATGGTCGTTTCATAAAAAGTACAGAATCGGAAGAAATGCACGAGGAAAAGGGCATTAAATATCGATATGAAATATATACTGTTAAAATAGATAAAGTCGCTTGATATTTTGGTTCTTTAGAAGCTGCACTTTTATCGAATTACCCAGCAATGTCTCTTTGCTTACAACAAAATGTCTAAGATACCATAAACCAATCGTTACCATAAATAGATTTACTCTAATTATATAACGTGTCTGACTGCAAAGTAATGTGATATCACACCATAGAATGTTACAGATGAAAAAAAAAAAAAAACCATAGATATCAAACCAAATAGAAAAATCAAAATACAGTTAAGATGAAAAATTCAAAGGAAGAGTATGGTGGTTACATTATTTTGTTGATAATCCGTTGATCATGGAACAAAAGAAAGATTGCTTGGGATATTGCAAGATTTTCCGTATCATTTATATATGTAGCTAAATATATGAATTAATGTTGATAAAAACCAGAGAAACTTTACACTCAAATACTCAATACTTTGTACATGCACGTGAAGTCATACTTTAGTGGAAGATTGTTCAATTTAATTCTTCAAAGATAGAAATATTTGAATATCTGAGGTCTGCTGCATTTGTTGCAAGTTCTATGGAGGACGACCCAATGCGTAACATTAATTACACTCTCAGAATACACATATCTTTTTGAGAAATAACAATCTAGTTCCTGCCTAATAAAACCTTACGAACATTGGATGTTCGGTTTCTTATCGTCAATTAATCGATTTTGTACGTCTTTCGGTTAACAATCAGAAAGATGATTATTGTTTGCTGATTGGTATATTTGGAGATTATACCATTATAGTATGCGTTCAATTGCGAACCGAAAAAAACCACTGAAAAATAAAGAGCAGCACGAAATCTATTTTCGAGTCACGGTAACTGTTGAGTGGGCAACGTGGACGGTGAAGTGACACTATCAACGATAATGCATAATCTTAAACCGAAGTCCCTTTTCCGGAATATCGGAACTAAATCTCAGCGTGCACCCTGATTTATAAGCAAACCCTGTGAAGTAGGCGTTGCATGACATACAGATTATAGGCGTCGTTTGTAGGTATCGAGGCCATCGTGCAATTTTTTGTTCTCAACACTTCATCGAGTATTGTGAAGAATTACAAGTAAGAGGTTTTCATGGGGATCAACCTGATCTGAATTGATGTTTTTTTTCTGTTTTGCTGAATTAGTTTTGTGAGAAGACTGGTAAGTTCAGAACTGCCATTTATAATAAATTGGATTGGAAATGATTGATAGTTAAAATAAAGGTCTGCTTTTATGTGACTTATTTCATTTCTTGTGATTTACCAGTTGCAGAGATTTCATTGAAATGGTGGGTAGAAAGAAGCGGAGTACCAGTACGAGGAATCATTTTGCTGAGGTAAATGTAAGTTTTATGGCTTCTTTCATAAGTTGATTGTTGTCTATTTGAAAACAACTCATGGATTTATACCAATGCTTTCTCAATATTATTTCTATTTCTGTACTATTTAGATATGAAAAGGATTGGTATTAATTTGAGAAATGCTATGTACTAAGCTAATAAAACAATATCGGATTATATTTGCAGCAATAGATAGTGTACGTTGGAAAGAACTCATCACAAAAAAAAAAAAAAAAAAAAAAAAAGGCGGAATAGAAACAAATGTTAATAGTGATATAAAGAAAAACCTGTTCATGTAGCAAGAAGTATTGCAACACAAAGGGGAGTAGTACCGAATGACATTCTTGATACTTCTAATAAAATTAGGTTGAATTTTACACTTCAAAACTACTTGTTTTTATGTTTTTGTCATGTTCTGTATTTGTTCAAGCTGTGTTTTTTATTGTCCACTTTGTATTTATCGAGACCATACCATCGGATTTTTCAAAGAAATTTCTTGTAATTCTAGTAATAATTTCCGTTAATGTTTACGAAAAGAATTTAATAGGGTGTGCAACAATACGGTACCGGTGATTTTGGAAATAACAGCACTTATCGTGGTCAGTTTTCGAACGCTAGCAGTATATGTCGTAATGGAAGTCTTGTGGATCCTGACTATTCTGCTCTGACAACAACTTTTCACCGTAGATCAAAACAATACAGTAATCACTTCAATCACAGGAATCAACAAAATGCCGTCAACAATAATACTACGGTAATCGCGTCAGTCATTATGATCTACAGAGGTAAACTGAGTGGAATCCCTTAATAATAGCCCAGAAAATACGTAATGTGCAACTACATTTAACGATAAGTCGGAAGACGCTTTTATACGTGCAACTGGCCGATTATTTAGTGCCTAGGGACTTTATGTCGAATCATCATGCTTTTCAATTGTGATTGCAGGCAAATATGAATGGGAATTGCATTGCGAGAAGTGCAAGTCGGGAAACTAGCTCAGCATCTGCTGGTAGTATCATTTCGGGCGACCCGGATGAGGATGGCTTTTTATCAGGATCAGGGCAAGAAATCGAACCTGATGATTTGCGATGCATAGAAAGACGAAGCGTGGCACTAATGACCGAAAAAGAATCAAGTTGCTCCGTAAGTACACAAACAGGTAAAACTTTTTTCTTCTCTTCAAAATCTTCAGACAAATATTTGGATTTCTTTGTTGGACGAATTCAAGTTTATAAGAATCTTCTCATAAAATTGATGCTAATATGTTCATTGGTAAGATTAAAATCTTTGTTGTCTTTGTAATTTTATTTTTGCAAGAGTAGCTTTATTATTTTCGTACTATGTGCATAAATTTCGTTTTAAGTTGATGGTACGAACTCAGATTTATTGTTAGCTGTGTGCAAGATGAAGTGTTCGCAAAGAGTTGAAGCTGTTGCAGAAGTGATTCAGTGTTTGAATGCTTATGAGCAAAGGTTAGCATTAATTACAGTCATAGTTACTTATGACTGGTTTATTAGACGATTAATGATTTGGCATCTAGAACTGCTCATTCAGAATTCTTGGATAATCCGAGTGAAATATCGTTTCATGTTTTTTTTTTTTTCAAACTTTTGAAGAAATTGTGACGTGTTTGCCTTTCTACCAAGATGACCAGACTTTAGATCATTCGATGCAGATTCAGATTTATATCATGGGAGCATTTTAATCAAATCAGCTGCTCCATCTATTCGTCGATTGTTCAAATATATGATAAATAGATTAAATAAATTAATTATCTATTGCCCTTAGTTTTTTTATGGCAGTTTATTTCTTATTTACTGTGCATTCCATCACAGTTTATCACTTCTGTTAATTGGATTGCATCTCTTTATTTATAGATACATAGGATCATGTGTAGAAACAGCTGTGCGTTCAAAGTCGCTATATCTTCGACAGTATGAGTTGCGCTACAATGATGCTTATTTTTTACAAAACTTCGTAGAATCAGCATCATATAGCCGGCTTCTGGAGCTTGCCTTTCCGATGTTGTGCCTTTTACATTCAACGAACCGCCCAGCAGCTACCGTCTATATGCAGTATGCTTCTTTAGTCGTTCTCAAAATTCTGTTGCTGTTTTCATCCGATTTTATTTTATATTCTTCAAAAGAAAAAAATAAAAATAAAAAAATAAATTACTGACCAAATCGAACAGCTCATGCTATTTAGATTGGTAGAACGACTATGCGATGAACTTATTGCTGTATCTGCTAACAAATCGCCTCTCGAAAGGGAAGAAATGTTGGATTCGGTTAGGTGCCCTTCTCTTTAAAACATTTTAAATCCTAAAATGCATTTTCTAAATGTCGGTATTTTTCTAATAGAATTTAAGCATGTTCCTAAAAAATTGGATTTTACCGTGGAATAGGTTTTGAGCTAAACTGAGGAAATAATGTCCTTAGGAAATGAGGAAAACATATAGTAATTACTGGAAGAAGATATAAAACTTGGTATATTTGCTCATTTAATAATTTTATGTGATTATCAATATTGCTCATTTTCTCATTTTAAGTTGCTTATGGTGGTTTCCGCAGCACAACATCATGCAGCTTTCTCTGTGGAGCATAAAATCAGACTTGAAAATATTCGAACATATTTGGGAGCATTGTCTCCTCAGCCGGCTGCTCCGATTGAGAAACAGGTGATTCACATAAATTATTCCCAGTGGAAATAATTAGCATTTCATAATGAATGTTTCATTTGTGCTGCTGTATTAATCACTATTTGAAAAATGTACATCCCACATATTTTCTTTAGGTCTATTTTGGGCTATATTCGGTAAGTTTTTGATGTTTTTTTATAGTTGAAGTGAAAGATGAAACTTATTAAGTTTTTAGAATTTAGTAAGGATATTGGATAAAATTCCAAAATACATGGAGTGCTTGTAAACGAGACATAGCATTATACTTTATCATTGATTGCAGAGTTGTGAGGCTTCTACATCTGAAAATGACGACGTACCTGTTGTCATATCTCGTTTGGACGCTGAGGTTACGAATGACGATTCTTCTCCGAATATATTTTCAATAGCGGTACATTTTTTTGAACGCTCCGTTCAATATCATTGTATTTTTAGAGACCATAAACATATGTGTCGTCTTACCTTTTGGTCCATTTAACAAGTTTTTGCCACAATCCCGATAAACAAGCAATTTAAAGTATAGGTATAGTCTTTTTTAAGATGTAGTCTTTCTAGCGCTATTGTGATATAATTCATCCGTATTTCTTTTTAGATCGAATGGAGCGATATGAAAACATCTTATATTGTTAGGACGGCTGATCAAATCGCTGATTTGCACAATCGTCTGTTAGACAGTTTCCCAAATGAAGCAGGGGCTCAGACTGGGAATCCTCGCGTTCTGCCATATCTTAATCGTTCGCAACCTAGTTCTATTTTGGGCTATATTCGGTAAGTTTTTGAAGTTTTTTTACAGTTGAAGTGAAAGACGAAACTTATTTTTTAAAATTTAATAAGGATATTGGATAAAATTCCAAAATACATGGAATGCTTGTAATAGGTTTGCAATATTAATTACTAAGAGTCATTTTATGTTGTACTCTCTGCCAAACGATTCTAATGAAGTTATTAATTCGGAATTTTTTGCAGCGCATTGCCGGATCTTCCAGCTCGTGTTTTAGTTTGTCCAATAGTGCGTGATTTCTTTTATCCATCTCGGTTAGAAAGCTGTTCATTTTTATCAGCTCCTCAGTCATTAATATCGCGTTCTTTGCCTTCTCTTATTGAGTTGAAAGTAAGAACAATATTTTCAGTTCACAGTCATTTTAAGGGAGAAATGGTGAATATCATCTAACCTCACATAAAAAGAAAAACAGAATGAATTTTCAACTGTTCTTTAGAATTATACATTAATGGATATAGCCCGACTGAACAATTAGAGCAAATTTGTATTTTTCGCTATTTTTCCATTTGTCACGAAAATCCAGCACTTCTTTGCCTTTTATTTTTTACGATATTTTATTCATAGTTGTCACAGTTATTTTAAGGGGGAAATGGTAATATCATCTAACCCTGTCATAAAAAATTAGAATTTATCGTATTTCCATGCTTTATTCTTAACTGTGTCTTCAAAATCATTTCTTTTTATTATTTTTAGAAGCCTCCAACATGCAGTAACACTTCTTCCCCGTCCAGTCAACCTTTATCCGAAACACCGGTGTGTCATCCCTCATTATCTGTCACATTTTTACCCGTAACAACTGTTTGTTCTGCTGGTGTGATGGGTTGTACTAGTGTAGCCTGTCCACCATTTTCAATGACAAACGTACCTCCGCCACCTCGTGGTCCACTTTTATCACTAGCACGACCGCTATCCCTATTAGCTACTACCACCAATGTCCCAGCTTATCCGTCGCTACTTTCACTACCTCCAAATCCCAATGGATTATCATGTTGTAATTGCGCTGGTCGCCATCCATTTGCTTATTGTACTCAGCCTACGATGCTGCAAATTATCGCAAGTGGTATGTTTTCAGAATTGATATTAAATTAGAGTATTTAATCAGACAACCAACATTTTGTTTATATGGTAATGATATGGAGCCGTCTGCGTTTTTGGATTAATTTCTTTCGAAAAATAGAAAGTATTGGTGGTGGTGGGTCAATTGAACTATTTTGACATCATGAATTCAGCTTTCCATGGGTATTATTTCAATCATACATGTTGGATCTACCGTTGTATATTACATCTTTGTTTTTGGAATAAACTGAAGATTAAAAAAAATCAAATTAACTAATTCGGATCAATAAAAGCGGAACGAAACTTCAGGTGAATATAGGATTGATTATAACAATATGACAACCGCTCTGCCATTCGAGATGACAGGAAGTGTTGCATCAGTTAATAATTCCGTTTCACCACCATCGACAAATTTTTCCACACCACCACCAGCTCCGAATTCGTGCTGATGAATAATATAGGGCTGGGGTTGTTGCGAAAGTATGAAAATTTGTTTTATTCAGCAGGGTGTGCCTTTTACCTTACTTTACAGTTTTGTGATTGTTCCCGGTGTTTTAGATTTGGTAATTACTTTACGGTGGTGAAAATCAAAGATAGTGGAACATTTCTCAAAATCTTTTCATTTTGTACCGATTTTACCATGTATTCAATTTTTTTAGCTTTTGTTTTATGAAGTGTTAATTCAAAATAAAATAGTTCTTTATCATTTAGGAGGTCGATCCACTTTTTTAACTAGCTTCGTGAAACTTTTAAATCATTTAAAATCAACTTTTTCTCTCATGTTGACTATAAAACGATGAAACAGCCCGTTATCATTTCACTTTATTTTTTGGGTTGGAATTCATTTATCATATTTCTGATCACTTGTTTAGAAGTGAAATTTTGTCATAATTGAACTTATGAAGATCTACAACTTGTCATTGTTGCATAGTTTTTCATGTTTGACTATTGCTCACTGATGGTTGAGAATATACTTTTTTAGTTTTGTTTTTTATTTTCAATTATTTTATTTGGACAGATAACTTCATTTTATTTAATTCTAAAATTTTTTTGTTCAATTATGCGCGCCTGGGACTAGCAATTGATTAAAGGAGAGAATTGTAACGACTTAATAAATAAGCTGTACAGGTGACTTCCTGTCATGGCTTTTGATGCTTAGTTTAATTTTAATTTAGCGTTTGAATGGTACTCATAAGCATTTTCGATTTTTTTTTTTCACATATTTACTAAAACCTCCCGATCTTTCTCCATGACATTTTTAGTAATGTGGAGATTTTATTTAGCATGTTTGAAGAAGGATACTGATAAATTCCTAGTTTTCTTTATTTATTTATTTAATTTTCTGTGTCGTGATGATGCTTTCCAAGTTTGTATATTATGTTATGAATTTCTTTCCATGAGGTACAATGAGAATTCTCCTTATTCAAATCTGGACTTATAATCTCCTGAGATTCTCAACTATAGTTTTTCTCGTTAACAAGAAATTGTTTTAGATCCTTTTTTCCAAGAACCAATATATTTCATCATTTTCATATCATTTTTTATGAATGACAATAATGAATTTTTCTTGGTTTCATCTGCAAAGATCCAGTGTACGTTTTTTATATAATTTTTACTTTAAATTTTTGAAAACGTTTTTGAAGTTATGAGTATTTGTGACTAAATTATCCGTCATAAGGATATGAATTATTAATGGAAAGATGTGTAGGAAAAACATTGCGCATGAAATGTTGCAATCATGAAATTATGTACTGTTGGTAGTTTTACTAAAATAGTAATTATTCATATGCACACCTACCTAGATTTAAATAGGCAACAGCAACTTGTTTGTACTATTTCTTATAGGTCTCGGTGAGCATTATAAATTTAGCTTATTTTATTCAAATATTTTTGTTTCTTAACTTTTTTTTTTGTCATGCTAGTTACAGATTGATTTTATTGTTTTGGCAATATTTATTATGTTTTGCATTGCTATCCAGCGAAATTCCAGTGTACGATTAGGTCAAAATTTGACATCGGTCTGTCAGTCTGTTCTTGGTTCTTTAGTAGCTCAAAGGCTGTTTGGCATATTAAAGTTTCTCAGTTTTGAGCCGTGTCACTTTGCATGTCGACTAGTTTAAATCTATTCCCGATTTGAAAGATTCGTGTATAACCTTATTCTGTCTCATAATGAAACAGAAAAAATCACTTTTCTCATACTTGATTATAATCAAGTAACTGATTGAAAATGGTAATGGTGACAACAGTATAACAATTGCTGGACTCTCCTTCATAATTTGCTTCATACTTCGCGCCCACTATATTTCAGAGTTTCCTCTGATTATAAATTTTGTTTAATCTAGCATTTCCATGCAAATGGTATCAATTTTGTAAGTGTTTATTCTTAAATTATTCATATTATTTTATTTTTTAATAACTAAAAACTTTCATATCTTTGCATGGATGTATCCGTGTTTCTGTTCCTTTCTTGAATGATGCTTTCAGCCAGAAATGAAAATGCAGGATCAGCAATTTGTTTTGTCACATGCTTTCTTATACAGAAACAATGTTAGCTCCTTTGCTGATCATTTTAATAAAATTATTAATGTGTTTGGAAAATCATAATGGATTTTAGTTTGCATTGTTTTATGCGAAATGATAGTTCACAATATATGCTTGCGAAAGATATGGATGATTAAGTCCGTAATTAATGAATACGTTATTGAGAAAGCATAGTGAATTTTTGTTTGGTATTCTAAATTTAAAATACCATATTAATCACAAACATGGTAACGAGATTAGATTTTTGGTGTGATTCATCGAAATTACTACTAATACGTGGTGAAGGATGTGAACATTTTGAGGAACTCCTAAAATTTGAAGGATATTGCTATACTCAAGTGCGGACAAATTTCACTCATTGTATAAATCAGAAAAATATTGAGCAATCGGAATCGAAAAATGGATTAAAGGAACTATTACTACAATTTATTCTTTCTCCACTACCATTTCCTTCGACGATTGCAACTGCATCACACGCAAATTTATAATTTCCACCACAGTTGCTATCCCAGTATACCATCCCACCACATTCGTACTTTATGCAGAAGTAAATGCATAGATCCACTTTCAAGAATGGCAAGAATATGCAGAATGAAAATCGATCTTCTTGGGGTGACGGTGATCTGCAAGTTTAAACCTAATATTGTGAGTAATAAACTCTATCCAAAATACAAAAACCATGTTACAAAGAGCCTGTTTTAACAAACTCCTAACAAGCTACTAAAATTCCACTGTTCTTCATTAAGTATAATATCATTTTTCGATCCCAAAAATTGCCCTGAAAAACCCGTACTATTAAAAAAGAAGAGTTCTGTTATTTCCCAAAATCTCTCTCTTAATTGACCATAAAAAAGGTGCTATTTAAGGAAGTTACTATTTAGGCTGTTTGCCAAAGAACTGTTTAATAACTTTTCTAAAAACTGATAGTCGAAAGCTACTATAAGGTATGGTTGCCCTTTCTGAAATATACCAATTTTTGCTGGGTGGGATTTGATGTTGTCAAATTCTTTAAGAAAAGATCGTAACACTCAACTAATAGATCTATTGAAGTAGCAAATACTTACTCTGTATAAGCTCCTTTTACAGTATATGAGGTAGTCCAATCGTCAAAGGTATACAATATTTCTATCTGTAAAATTTTCACTATAATATTACTGTAAAAGTCGAAATTTAACACTTGGAAGATATTTTAAGCAGATTGCATTAATTTATCCAGATCGATCATAATATTCCATATGTGTTTGAGGTTAAATTATGATAAAATTTAAGTTACAGCGATAACAACAATAAAATTGATAGGTAGTTATAAATAGGATCGATAATGCCTCGAATTTTTCACTATCGTTGAACAAAAATATTGATTGAGGGTTTGTACTGAGAAGTTAACGATTCGAATATTCCAACATATAAATAACGCCTCGAAAATTTGGATCCAAATATATTATTTGATAAACTAACAAAAATGTTTAGTATCGATAAAAACATCTCGATCTTTCTCAAATAATTACTGTTTATTTTCTTTTAATTACAGACTTTTTTTTCATAACCCAAATTCTTCACCCGAACCACACCGGTGATAGCACGACCAAACCATCGAACACTTTCCAAATGAACGCATTGCTCACCAACCAACCATCTCAGTTCATTTTCTGTTGGTAACCAAAAATATTTCTGTAGCTGCAATTCCGAAGCTGAAAATGTTTACTGAAGGAAGCACTCAAATTATACCAATGATTCATAAAAATTAGCAATTTTGTTAAGTCCAGATTTCTGACTTTTTTGGAATACTTTACCCTATATTACATCCTAAATTAGCTTAATTTAATTGATCTAGCCCTCGAATTTTCAGCATTTTTACAATTTCTACGTGATTTCCAACTTCTATTCAGATGACTTAATGATATTGTAGTTGGTCGTAAATAAACATATATTAGATGGTCTTGAAAATCTTTTTCGTACTTTTCAAAAAAAAAAAAACGCAATAGAAACACTATACAGATGTTTTAGAAGTAAAGAAACCTCATTTATAAATGTTCTTTTTTTCCTAAGAGATTATTGATTATTTTAAGATTTGTTCTACTTTTCAAAGAGTTTCAAAAAATCAATCAAAAATCTCACTTTCTTTTTTCTTTCTGGAAAAACACAAAAAAAAAAGAAATTAATGACAAATGACTGGAACCCGTAATACTTGTTGTCTCTACATCAATGTTAGTTGGATTATTTTTCTTAAATGCCCCTGGCAGTTGGGACTTTTGCCAGGCTTCTTCTGTTGCATTGAATGATAATTTGTTTCACTGTTTACGTAATTTTCAAATATTATCAGTGCTTCTTTGTTGTAACAATCATTGTTCACACTCAAACCTAATTTTCCAACTTTTTTAGCTCTTATGGATTGTTCACATATCAACAATGATGAAAGCAATCAAACAGTTGCATATGAGGGGGCGGGAAAAAGTTTTTTTTTTTAAAGTTCTTTTCAAAAAAAAGGAGAAGTCGTGCATTTTTTGAAGCATCTGTAATAGTAAAGCAGAAAAGTACTAACCAGAACTACAAGGCCCATTGCTTACAGTTAAATGCGTGCATTTTTCACTGCCCTTTTCCGCTTGCGTATTGATAGCGTATTCCGCTTGTTCCAAATCAAAGCAGTCCGAAAATCGCACATTTTTCTTGATTCTTCGTCGCTGTGTTGGTGACGTGCGTTCGCTTTTAGATCGCAATCTCCAAAAGCATGAAGTGAAATTTTATTGCAAAGAAGTCGAAATTTATCAAATTATCTACTAAACCATAAAATTTATTTCTGAAATCGCTCAAATTACAAAACAGAGCATGCGTTTTGAGAATAGATCACCCAATGATGCTTGCAAATACTCACGGGATCCACTTCATTATAATCACATACAGATACACTTTATATTTGCATATTTCCGATTGTCTCAACTTCTGAACCATAAAACCGAACAGTATTACTTGTGATTTCCAATAGTATTTAACTATTTAACTGTACTTACTCCGTTTTTATATTTTGTTACAATATGTATAGTTGTAGAGCTAAACGGAAAGAGCAAAACTGTTAGGCTAATTCTCCATACATCTTACATAATGCAAACCGAATGTGTCCGGAGGTTCAGGGACTGATTATTTAGCATTCATAAGACCTAATTCAAAGTGACTAATCGAGATTATACAGTGTTTTGAATTATTGCGGTCACATGAACACCTTTTGACATATTCCGAGAACAACTCGCCATGAAACAAACTTAATTCATCTAGATTCCCTTGCTAGAACGGAATGAACCTTTCCAGATTAAACGAATTCCTTCACGAACAAAATTAGTAATTTTGATTTCCAAATTTCATTTGTACAACTTTCTCTCAGAGGGAAGGGATGAGGAAGCCTTGATCAGTAACAGAAGTCTCAACAAAAGGTTTGGGAATGAAGAAATTAATAGATTAAAAAGCGATAAGCTCACATTCCCCTAGTCGAATTACCGTTGTTGCGGACACTCGTGATGTTACGACCGCTAGTTTTGCTTAAAACACAATCACCACCACCACTGTTAACCAGCATCACTCCAGCAGCTGCCAATACCCCTTTGCTGAGTGATGTATTAAAGGCTTTTGCCTGAGTGTATGTGTATTTTGAAGTTCATTTCTTCCGTTGTTTTTCATATGAAGTCTTTTCTTACCTGGCATTTCTTTTTGAAACTTGTCGCCTTTCCCACGCCATACCATCAGATTTTCGACTTGCTCCATCCCAAAATTTTTACAAAAACAGAATTAAACACTTTTTCTCTTCCCATTGTTGAGATCAATATCAGAACTATGCAGCATAAAATAATACAAAAAATGATAATAAATAATACCTCAAAAAAAATGAAGCAAACCAAAAATAATAATGAATTGGTCGCTAAACGTAAAGATCATATTAGAGGAAGAAATATGATTGCCAGGTAATAGATATGCGCACCAACATTCACCTCGAAACATGTATATTGCGATGTATGACCAGTCGAACATGGTAAGGGAAAATTTGTGAAAAATGTTACACTCAAGTAATGCAAATTCGCTGTTTGACAATGAAAATGATTCAATTTTGCAAAGCTTTTCGCTTGTAGTGCAATTTCCTCCGTTTTAAAAGCAAAACTTCATTACAAATCAAAAAACCGCACTGATAACGCCGAAGGAAACAAATCCCAGCTATAAACTAGAATTTCTTCAAATAAAAATAAAAAAACAACAGCAATAACAATGTGAGGGTAATGGAAGCAACGAAAGATATTTCATCGAAAGTGAAAGATTAATTATTCAGTTGTTAAAAATCTGAAATATTATCACCCGAATGGTCCATTTATTCGCACAGCAAATCTTCTGCTGTTAGCTTGACAACATGAGAGCTTGAATTTACTTGGCCTAAATCATTAATCGATTTCAACAGTATTTCCTTAAAAATCAAACTTAGCCGATCGGGACAGAGTGGAAATGGGGTGCTAAGTGCAAGACTAATTGGTTAATTCTCCCAATTTGAAATCTAATAAAATCATGTTTTCCACGCCCACTGAAATTCAGAAAATTCGGAGAATTCGACCGCATATGCGGTGCCCGATATCAGGAAGTAAGCTATATTGATTTGATTCAAACGAATAAATTAAAATGCTTCTTCCTGTTAGGGCCCAAATAATTTTATCTCAATGGATGTGGTATTTGTCAAAGCACCGAAAAAGTTCAAAATCCAACAAAAGTTACAAATATATAGAAAAGTTGAATCCAAATCTCTTTAAATCTCATCTCGACTCTGTTGAGTTGCTGGAATTACTGCTCACAAACAAGTCCATTTTTCAGATAAAAAAATAAAAATTTTAAGTGGAGTCCTAAAAATCACGAAAACTTAGAACTGCTGGTTAATCAGAGAAAAATTGATGAAAAGTAAATAACAAGCACAGAAAAACTTATTTGAGATCAGAAACGTCAATCTGTGGATGTTTTCCTTTTTTCATGTATTCATCGAGTTCCTTATCCAGTTCCTCTCTTGTTACAACTGACCGCTTAGTACGGCTGGAATTACTACTGGATAAACTGCCACTAAAAAAACGACCACCTCGACCATAAAAAGCATGATTCCGTGGCAGAACAGTATTCGGACGCCAAAGTGTGCGGCTGAAACCATTACGCGCAAAACGCGTGTTTCTGCTAGCATATCGCAATGAACCGAAAGGACGAGGCCTAAAATCAATATGTGTAACACAGAAACAACTTACCAGAACAAACATATCCGGTTATCCAAAGCAGCCCTTCCGACTGCACCAGTGCTTTCCTTCCTTAGCTAACCCGCTTGATCACTACACTGATAGTTTCTATCTCGGTTACCAAATTACATACCTATCAACGTTGACCTTGCGCACAAGACCATAGTTAAATCTATTACGCCAATGCGGAAAAGTGATACGATTACGAACAGGAATACGAGCGAAACGAGGGCTCGGATAAACTCCCAACTTGCGTTTTGGTATAACGCGGACTTGTTCAACATAATTCGTCGCGGCCTCTATGTTATCCTCTCCAATTTCATCATAATCATTTGACAACTGAAACCTCTTGCACATGAGAAACAAACTTAAAAAAATGTCTACTCTGAACATAAATAAGAAAACTACGGCTCGAATCTGCTAATAATTAAGCATTAAGGTGGTCCAACAGGATATGGAAACAAGAAACCTGTAGGATTGAGCATCATTGTAGCAACATTGAAAGTTATAAAAAGGGTATTCTGGTGGAAAAAAAAAATGATCCCTCATTTTCCCAACCTAAAAAGATTGTCCTAGAAGGAAAAAGTTCGCATAAAAATTAGAAAGTTTTTGTGAAAGTCTTTATGAAGAATTCCTTTTAACACTGTAATGATTAAAACTATTTTGAAAGAAAAATATTTCAATTCAGCTTCCATGCCATCTTTATTCCATGAACAATGATTGCAAGAACACGCTGTAATATATTATGAATGAAATCAATTCATCATTTCTAGCAACTTCCACATACAAAATTCAAAAATACAAATAGAAAAAAAAGCTAATATGTTTGAGAACATATTTATTGCGACAAAAAATTTAACTCACTTCGACATCATCGATATACAATGGACGCCGATTTAAAATCGGTTCACGATAGCTCTGTTCGATACTGTTGTAACTTCTTATTGGGACAACACTATGTCGTAATTTAGGCACCGGAATTTGAGAAAACCTGCGTGCCGTAGCAAAATAAGTAACAATTACTCGGAAGCGTAGAATATGAGGATTCATTTACTTAATTAAGAGAACTATTATTCAGTACTTTACATTTGCTTTTTTTCCACCCAATACAACATGAAGATGTATGAATAGGTCTTATCCAAAAACTTAAATTCCATGAACAATGATTACAAGAACACGGCTATAATCTATCAATTCATCATTTCTAGCAACTTCCAGATCTGTAAAAGAATATATTCAAATCAAAGCTACAAGTAATTTTTTTAAGCAACACTGTTAAAGATTTTAATAGCTAAGCTTTGTTTTACTTTTGTAAAACACCTCCATCACGATGGAGTTCATTCAAGAATCTCCAGAGAAAGAGTCGTGTAAATGTTACAGATAACAAACTGACCTTTCATTCAAGGATATTTTTGAAGTTCCCATGAGAACTATTCGAGACGGTACTGATGCTGTTTCCATTACCAAAACCCTTAATGAGACAGAGCATACGTTCCAATGTAACACCTGATAAACTGAATTCAATCAGATGCACCATTACACCAGAAAAAAGAAGCAACACAAAAGAACTGATTTAGAAAATGCACGAGAATCACATAAAACATGGACCACGTTAATCAGTCTCTAAATAACCAACTTTAATTCCAAGGAAACAAAAAATGCAATCCATAATCTCTTTCCCCACAAAGACAAGTCACCGCTAGTCAAGTCGGTGCACCCACCTAACCGTATCCCTCTTCCTTATCATCGCCATTACCGACGTCCACGAAAACAAATGTGCACGAAAATGAATAGCATATCGCGACAAACCATCATCTGACATGTGCCTTTAATTAACGCAGCCCGCGAGACGCTGCGTTGTATCCAAACACTCTGAGCAAGTAAGGTTCGTTTGAGTTTGGGGGGTTTCGACAATTTTGGTCCTGGAATGGCAAGGTACAGTAGATAATGAGGTACAGTAGCAGGAAGTCTATTCCGCATTTATCACCCTCTATTGATAAGTTAGTTCCTTAACTAACTCATCCCAAAATAGGTATCAGAAGGGTGCAAAAAATGCCAAAAACTGGAATGCTTCTACAGAAGAAATGCTCTCTACGAACCGTAACTCATGTCTTCCTATTTATTTATTTCAAAGTTAACCTTTGTCGGAAATAATAACATATATTTCAAAAAACCTATGTGTCTATCTATTTGTATTACGTTGTATATGAGAAAATCCATTCGTTTTCTATTAACTGTTTTTTATCATCTCATTTTTCATCATTTCATTCTGCAAATTCTATAACGTCTTTATAAATCGTTGTGCACGCTATTAAAGCTTCCCTTTATCAATGACACGTTATCACGCTTCTCAATCTAGTTGTTAATATTTGAAATGAGTATTGTGAGAAGCATTAATTAATATTGATGCTGTGTTATAATATATGGAAAAGCTTGGAAAAGAAGTTAGTCCCTCTTTGTGGGGTCGAAAGCATCATCTGGTCACTGTTATGCTGATTGGTGATTGCCAAGCGGTCATCTGGGCGGTGTTACTCGCTCATTCGTCTTATTAATATTCAAATGGGGGCTGTCAGTGCAACAACTTCAGTCACTACACAAGGTCAACTTCAGCGTCTCTCTCTCTCTCTCTTCGTCCATCTAATGTCCATCTTCCTGTATCAGAACGAATAACAGATGGTGCCATGTCCATTGATTATTCTCTGCTGTATTGCCATTAGCAGAAGAGACTTTTCTGCTACTGCTATTATTATAATCGTTGCTATTATTAGTGCATTACTGTCATTGAGGTTTGTCCCTCTCTCGTCAGTCCTTTCCTAATTCTTATGAGGTTTAACCTTTGTCCACTCGCTGGATGACCCGCACACTTGCTCCCACTTTTTATTCCCTTTCTTTTTCTATCGATTTCTATATGGTCTTACTCTTGTATGCAAATTTCGTTCGACTAAGGCGAACATAATCCACTTTTTGAAGGCATAAAATTCAACTACTTCACAATTAAAACACTCTTCTTTAAAATTCGTTGTTAGAAGAGAAAAAGCAATTTATTTTCTGATCTTCTTATTTAAGTAGAAGCAGAAGTCAATTTTTGCCTTGCTGAGACCGAAAAGTGATCTGTTTACTAATAATTGTTTGTCTACTATTCACTCAGTCTGATATTATGTCAGAAAGCTGTCAAGAATCAAGAAATTAGAACAAGTCCTTTTGATTCTTCTAGAACCATAAATTATCTTGTTACTTGTTTTCCGAAGCCAATCATTGTAAAAATCACGTGATGAAGTATGTTTTACGGTTCCAGTTTATTGTCATCGGTATTATCTTTGTATGCCGAAAATATCAAATTCTGATTCTGCATAATTATGAATTTGTCATTTGCTCGATGAATAATTTTATAATTGCTGTGGTGTGATGGTTTTTTTCTCAATCGGATTTTCGGATTTCTGAACCTTTTCTGAATACCAGCTCTGTCCCTGACTTGCTTTTTATCTCTCTACTTTAAAATACCAATTACATTGTATTTATTAATTTGATGGATATTAGAAGCAGTGAATTAAAATGACAGTTTTAATCAGAATTTGAAAACTGAATCTCTTGTTCTTACACTGTTTAAATAATCATTCAATAGTTCGTGTCACTTTAGCTCGCCACAGAACCGCAGAAAAATCAGTGCTAACTGAAGATTCAACTGAATTTTTCACACAGCAGTGTTCAACACTGATACGTCTTAAATCTGATTTTTAATCTCCTGTACTTGATTGTTTTTCAAGTATATGAATTATTTCTTTTGTCAGCTGAATGAGTTTTTTTTTATTGAATGAAAAGTTTTTTTTTAAGTATATTATTCTTTTCATAACATAAACAATGATAAATCTTGTTTTAATTTCGATTTATTTCCGAATGATCTTTCTATTGACTGTTGTCACTTTAGTGAATGTTAATAAGACAGTCTTGATCAATTTCCGAAGCCTCTATTTTAGATATTATAGCGTCTTACTATACGGAAATCGTTTTTATTCATACACCAAGGATTTCAAATTCCTTAATTTACAGGGCAGAAAAGAAATGGCAAAATCACCGAAACAGCGGTCGTCATCTAATAAAAAATCACCCAGTAAAAGTCCGCGGAGTAAGGATTCCAGTCTGATACGAACTCGAACACGGAAAACTTCACGTTCCCGTAGTCGTAGTCGTAGTACCCATGGTACACCGCGTTCACGTTCAAATTCTCGTGGACGTTCGTCTTCAAAAAAGAAGACTGTTTCTCCAATAGTCAAGAAATTCGACGATTCAACAGCGGACGTCAAAAAAGTTGTTCCTTTATACCGCGGTTCGAAAAATGACTCGGATGTTAAGAACTTTCCATTTTCGGGTAAAGGAGTACGGCATCGTCCGCTAACAATGCGTCTACTGAAACCGATGAATGTGAGCAACTTGAAGGTCAAAGGAATAAAGCTTAAGCAACGTTTCTCTGTTCACTGCAAGCGGTTCTCGCGTTACTATACTACATTAACGGTCCTTGGATTAATCGGGCTGGGAATCTTTTACACTGGATATACCGTAGATCAGATGGCGAAATATGCTCGTGAACGTATGGACATTATTACGACGTATGTTCAAAGACGCACTTAAGGAAGGTGTGTGGTACCATTGGTATCTATTTCTATATGGCTTGGTAATTGAGCCTAGTTGGCAATGGGATTCTTGCGGTATATTAATTACATGTGGAGCAGGTTGGCTCTTTGTCCATTAAAAACGCAATGATAGGAGCATTTTGAAATTTCACTACTTTTCAAGACGTTTTATTATTGAATAATATTTGATAACATTGGTTTGGAAGGTCCATTTTGCTACAGAATCTCGAGTTCTGTCTTACCTTATTGAAATTTAGTTTTTTTCTAGTAGTCATAAAATACTAAATACTCTGCGTTTTGATCGCTTTTTTCAATTTTGAGAAAGCAACAAAAAGAACACAGTGTTTAGACATATAATTATCAACTGATTCGTTGTTAGCAATCCTTCATTGCGTTTTTTTTTTGGAAGTCGTAGAATTTCATAATTTGTGATAAACCTGCAGTCATGTTCTATGTTCAGTGATTTTCGTGTCACTAATTTTTTTTTTTGAAAAGTTTTTAAATTTTAGTCTAATTAATTCACATGTATTTCAGGGAATTTTTTGTAACTTTCGTTCTTTTTTATTTACCTCCTCAGGTATTGCTTTATTCTGTTTTTCATTCTTTTTGGATACTACTAGATTATAAGAACCTCAGGGATGTGTATAGTTTTTTTTTTTTTTGAATTAATAATTTTTTTTTTTTTGGAATTATTGTAAATATCTTATGCAAAACTGATCCTTCGTTTTATTTTATCAATCAGGTGGTGGTCACTATCAAATTAATTCGTCCAACGCTATAATGGAAAAAGATGCTTTTTATCCTCCTTATTTTCATTTTCTTATTTTTCATTATATATCAGAATATGATAGCTGTGACAAAATAAATCGGAGATAATTTTCCAATGGAATTCTTTTTCCCATCTTCCTTTTTAATTTAAAAAATTTTCCTTCTTTCCACTTCTCAAATTTCTTGTTTCGTTTAACATGAATCTTTGTTAGAAGCTTGATTTTATATTTCGTGTCTTCTCAGTGATGCATACTTTTCTCCTTTCAAATCATTTTCGATATTTTGAATGACTTATTTTTGAATTTCATATTATTATAAGTCGACTGGTTAATGCCTCAATGTGTACATAGTCAAACTGAAAAGATCACATTGTCCGACTGTGATTTTATTCAGTCAGTTTTTTATTTTATCTTACCCTTTAATTTCTCAAATTCATTGCTTACCGACCTTATAATAATATAATAATCGGTCTAATTATCAATGACTCTTCTACAGATTTCTTCGAAAAGTTGAAATCCAAAATTTTATTATGCCCTTCACGTAAAAATAGAGTTTTTGGCTGAGATTTTTAAATTTAAAAAGTTAGATAATATGTTTAAAGCCTCCTTCCAGTCTTATTTTTAATCTTAATATTTCTCGAAAATATGTCATCGAACATTGGCATTCATCTTTTTATAGCTTTCGCACAAATCTCTTGTTGTATATATGATATGGTCGGTTTTTCTCGTTATTTTTTCTTAAAGGCGTTCTTTGGTGCTTTAGTGGCATTTAATCATTTATTTTTGTTTTGTTTTTTCTTGTTTTTTTGTGTGTGTGTGTTTTTTTTTTTTTTGTTTATTAAGCTTTTATAACTGTAAAAATGTCGGACAACCTACCACGCTGCATTCATGCGATATAATTGTATTTAGTACTTCCTTATGTCTTGCTTAACAGATTTCATTCAATACTTTTTAAAATAATTTTTTTTTATTACATTCCCCATTTATTCATCTTATTTGTATAATATTAATGTTACTGAATAAACTTTTAATGAGCATTTTATTCTGTATTACACTGAAGATGAACAGAAACTTCAGCATTCAAAATTTTTAAGATTTTTGTAATATGATGTTTACAGAACTTTAAAGCCTTACCAGTGGGCCAGGAAACAAGGAATTAGGTTGAGAAAGAATTTTAAATAATTGAACTACTTTATTTCAATAAAATCCATCTACTGATAGTATGTATAAAAAGACATTATACAGTTGCTTCTAAAATTTCGTCAATCAAAAAAGCACATCTTTAACAGTTATGTTATCACAATAATATGTTTGCGTAAGAAGTTAAGAGGAGACGTAATTAGTTTACTACTGTCAGTAATATCATACTGTAGTGATATGTCACAGCTAATAATAATAATAATAGCACAAATTCTTAGGGTTAAAAAATAAGATTGCTTGTTGACATTCAAATTATTTAGATTATTTGTTAACAATAAGTGTCAATGTACAATTCTGTTATTTAAGTCATTCTTTAACAATAATTGTCAATCGTAATCAAATAGAGCTAGATGATTAATAGAAAGCAAATTAAATGTTTGTTATTCCAGTGTTATCTAGGATTAACCAAATAACTGTCAAATAAAAAGCCAATATAAAAGGAATTCATAAATTCAAATTTAACTATCGTAAATGAAGAAGAAAAGGGCAAAATTAACACTGATTGAAAGGTTTTCGTGATCTGTCAGAAAAGTATTCACCATAGATAAATCGTCTTTCAATTCCTACATCTGAAAAATAACTCCATCAATTGGCAGTAAGTATGAAAAAAAAAAGTCATAATACGGTAAGTTATTTCTGACTAATTTAAAATCTTCAAATGGAAATTAAGTAAAGCTACCATGTAAAATACTTTTAAAAAAATAATTGAAATTACTTAACAAATGCAATCTTGTAGTAAGGTGGGTTAATTGGATACAAAATTAAAAGACCTTTCAGGTTCAATATTTGCATGAACAGATAAATGTATTGATAAATTGAATGAGATACCATAGAGTATCACTCTAACAGTTATGAATTCTAAATTACAATAACAGAAAAATGGAATTGTTCGTAGATGATCGGCTTTTACAGAAGGACAAAGGGAAGCAAATGTTTCATATCACTTCTGAGTTTCATTTTTGACCAGTATTCTTCAGCTAAACAATCCAACTGAAATTTTGAACACTGATTTTACGAAGAAGAAAAGAAGCAAAATGAGAATACGAAATGCGCCAGCGTTTTCTAAAAAAGAAAATAATATTACTTCATTTTAAATCATTTTCCGCATCGTAAATATTTATCGTATTTTCAAGACAGAAATGAATGAAAAATATTGCAAATATCAACAATTATGAAATGTAAACTACGGACTACGGCATGTTTTCCATTTGAATCCCAGCAATGGGTTCAGGCTAATAATGTAGTATTCCTTCCCAGCTAATAATGTTTTTCTTACTTGCTGACAAATGCTATAGCATGAAATGACTTACCTGGGTTGCTTCACTTATCGCGGCTAACTCATAAACTGATTCCAACATGAAATATCAAAATGAAGAAAAGGTTTTCATTTGTTGGCATTTAAATTAATTAGGCTTTAAAGTAAACTTATTCAAAAGGAGTCAAAAAAAGCTCTCGAATGAAATCACTACAAATAATAAATTTAAAAAATAGCTAAGAAAGGTCAGAGAAATGGGAAACAAATAAAAGGAATAATAGCAGCTAACACTCAGGCCGGGACGAGTGCAATATCGCCAAATGATGAACTTCTGTCTGAATAGTGCAAACGACTCGACCTGACTGATTAGTGCAGTATGATCATCATCATATCAACAAAGTTTGGACAGTTCTGGAGAGAAGGTACATTGAAAATGAACAATCAATACGGGAAGAACTTTTAACTTTAGCAAAGTAGTATTGCTTATGATATCGTTTGGAAAGTATTTCAGTTCTTGAATGAACATACGTTACATTAGAATAAAGTAGCGAGAACTACGTGATATCAGTTATGCGGCACTTTTTAGCACTGTATGATTTTGCAGTTTGGACAAAACCTGATGATAATGATTGAAAAAAAAAAAGAAGCAAGGAGATATGCTAGGAATATAAAATCACGTCAAATGGCTTGATGACATTTTTGAATAGCAGAGAGAAATTGTTAACGTTGCTGCTATTATAAATGTCTAACTAATGTTTTCTTTTTTTTTTTCATCATCAGTAATCAGAATTTTGGGATGTTAAAATGATTCATTTTCATAAATTTCTTTTTATTGCGAAGTTTTGAAAATTGTAGAACAGTTGGTCAGAACTATTTCCTTTTTTCTTGTCAAGCTTTTTTTTTTCTTTTTTAGCTCCTAAAGCGAAGAATTGTCCTCGTTTGATATTCACGAACAAAAGGCATTTAACTGGCCCTAACTCTATTCAAAGCTTTTATCGTTAAATGTCATCAAAATTCTCCTTTTCCAAAAAAAAAAAAAGTACAGCAATGAGAAAGTAGAATTAAAAAATTTTTTCGTTAAATGTATTATTCTACAGCAACATCCAGTAAGAAATTATGGAAAATTTCCAGCAATATTCTGTATTTCACTGCTATATAGATTGCACGGGTAAAGACTTAAGAATAAAAGAATGTTGTGGATTAATAACCGTTTGGCTCTAAAGTATTGATTTCAGACTTACTGAAGATGCTTTTCTATTAGCGCCACTTCATCAGCAGTAGAGTTTTTTATTGCCTTTGACCTTCTATATTTGTATCGCTTTTCAAGTAGATAGAAATTGTACAATAATCTTGCTCTCCTTTCTTACACAGCTCCAAATTGCTTCCCAATCTAACAACAAAAACTTTATACCGTAAAATACTTATATACAATGTATCAAGTACTTAGTGGACAGAAAGAAAGAAATTCTATAATCAAGTAATGATGGTAACCTAAATATGTCCACCATAGTGATAACAGTGATAGTAATTATATTATTATTAGTAGTAGTACTAGTAGTAATAGCAATAACAGTAGCAGTAGATGTAGTTATAGTAGCAATAACAGTAGCAGTAGTTGTAGTTGTAATAGTAGTATAATAATAATAGTATCGTGTTATATTAATATAACAGTAATAATACTGTGTCGCTTTAAGTAATAGCTTAAGCCGAGAAAAGTTTTATTGCAAAAAAATGGAAAATTAAAGATAATTCGCTTAAAAGTGGTCTTATTTCATTAAAAAAATTGAATAGTTTGTATGGATGGAAAAGTAGGACACGAGTGAAGAAAGATAGGACGAGTTGTTATCGGTGGTGCTTTAATAGTATGACTTCCAGTTGTACGATGGTGCAATGACATTGGGATGGTCTCCTTGTGCCCATAAGTATGGCTTCCTTCGGGTTGCCGCAGGCTACATTACCAACGGATCGGCAGCTATCGTTCTATTCCTCCCATATGTCATATCTAAACACCGAGTATCATACTATCTCGTAAAATATAATGTAGCAGTAGTAATAGTAGCAGTAGCAGTAGTAGTTGTTGTTGTAGTAGTAATAGCAGTAGTAACACTGTATGAGTGAAATCGCCTTAGGCATGCCCGGTCGGCCGATACAATGGCAGAGATGTGGACGGATAAATGAATAAATGGATGAATGGAGGATTAATTTCAAAACTAAATAGATGGAATCATACAACGAGTTTTGAAGCTTTTGGTAACTTCTAAAGAAGCTAATATGAAAGTAGCAGGTGAATAAGTAAATAAGATAAAATGAATGAGAGATTTTGTAACAATGGAAGTAGTAGAAAGTGTCAACGAAAAGAACTGGTAGATGACAATAGTAGCAGTAATGTTGATAATAATGATCATAATGGCAATTGTGAGAGAAAACAAAAGTGTCATCAAGAATGGAAGACACGAGGGGAAGGAGGAAGAAGAGGAGGAAGAGGAGGTAGCAACACACCGGTTATATAATAAATAATGTGGAGTAGTGAGAGTGGGAACCTATCATCCTTGTCATCATTATCATCACTGTCATCGTCATCATCAGCATTACCAACATTGGCAATAGCTCCTTTAACAACAATAACAACAACTTGTTTCTATCACTCTATCATCAGTTCTAAAAATTTTGTTTAGAAGACAAAAATAGCAGAAAAAGAATGGCAGAGGTGAGAAGGAGAAGAAAGAAGAAATGGAAAGAGCGCCATACCGTAGCATTTAGCATTGTACTTCCTGTAATAACACCTGTCTGTGACTACCTGTTGTGCTTCTTACCCCACAGTAAAGTGTAAGGCTCTGAAGTGATGATGGAAGGAGCACTTATCACATATATTTCATCAGAACCTGATTACGCTATTAGTAACAGCAATTAATGAATCCTATAAAAACAAGATTGGAAAAGGTAGTAATGAGCAATAATAGGTAAAATGGTAATGGAAATGATGACTAAGGAAGATAATAGTGATAATAGTAGCTACTACCAATGCTATAATGGTAATGATGATAATGATACATTCATATTTAACTAATTTACTACACATACACACACACACACACACACACACACACACACACACACACACACACACACACACACACACACACACACACACACACACACACACACACACACACACACACACACACACACACACACACACACACACACACACACACACACACACACACACACACACACTGGTAGACTTTTTTCGTGTAACTGGAAAGGGAGTCACTTATTGGCTTTCCGAATAGCTCGAAATATGTTTTTTTTTAATTGAAAATTTAAAGTTTCATCCCAACTATAACAAAATACTCAATGATAACGACATTCAAAAGAGTAATGAATTCCATTCACTTCATACAGTTGATAGAGTATTTCTATATGATAGTGATTATTAAGCATTGTCATTTATGCCATCACTACTATCGTAATTTTATCCGATATTGTTGAAATAATGACGATGTTTCAAATATTCAATAAGCACTACTACTATCACTACATCATCTCCCGTATTTACTATCAGCCATTTATCTCACAAAATGAAAACAGGAAATGTTAGTATGTAATGATGATCCATTATCTTGTTTAATTACATTATTTACCCAACAATACGATCATTATTACGTTTACCAGTGATAAAATACCTTTATGTAATTATCCTTTCCTCTTTCATGTTATCCTGTTTTTTTATTCAAAACAAACTTTCATCAAGGAAATTTAATCGCTTAATTGCACCTTTGTTTATTAAGGGGAAGATCCATAACTATAGCTAAGTATTCTTTTACCTAAACATTTTAGATTATATTTTTTTTCAAAATTAAACCAACATAAAATCCATTTTCAAAAGATAAAATAAAATTTCCGTATATAAAGAAATTCAGAAAAAGGATAGACTATGTTCTAAAGCATCTGACTTTACAAGGGGAACTTTTTCCTCCCCAAACATTGCTGTTAATGTTTAAAAAACATACCGGAAGGATAGATATCCTTCTGCAATTCCAGTTTCCAGTTTTCTTAAAAATTGATCATCCTAACAAAAAGCAAAAAAGAAAAGGCTCCATCACATTTCAGCAAGATTTGCAAAGTGGTAATAATTTTTTTTTTATGCATTGCTCTTATCCCAAGAGAAAATTCATCTGCAGTCTTCCTTTCAGCAGTACTGTTTTGAAAAAAAAAAAAAAAAAAAACGAACAAAAAAACAAGAAAACTTTCCGTTCCATTCTCGAAATTTTATTGGTTAAATTATGAGAAATCAGCACACATATATTTTATTCATAAAAACCTCCCACACATTACACCGACCATATTAAGTTAGTTTTGATGATATTTTTAATGCCACAAATTATCTTAATCACTAGCGATAAGCTTGATACTTTTAGCAATGCCAATTTACACACCAATCTTTCTCTCCTAGATATTACAAAAGCTATGAATAGTAGAAATCATGATTTTTCACAGACTTAATTCATTTCATGAACGAAAGCTCGTTGCTATTAAGAAATAGAGACCAAAGATTTATAGGAAATACTCAAGCAACGACATTCTCTACAAATTTTCTATGCAAAAGCACTGAAAGAAATTTATTATATTCCCTGAACATTTTGTATAGCTGTAGATGTAAATTTTTCGACAAACAAAAATTCCAATGCAACATATCAACTTTACTTGATAAATCATACAGTCCAAAACGAAATTGTATGAATTCATTTCGGATCATTGTATGCACTCAAAATATCTAACGTCGAACTGTATAAATCTTGATGAATTATAATGGTATGACAAACAGTACTACATTTATATAGCTTACTATTTTATTGATTGTTAATGAATCACCAATGTCATAAAGCAGATAAATATCCCAACAACGAAACTGAAATTATTTGCAACTGTTGTGACTGAACACATTCCATGAAGAAATTCATTTATGAAAGTCAACCTTTTTTGGATCTTTTATGAACCGATTCAAATATTTCAGAATTACAACGCTTCAAAACAAAATTTCAAAAGTCAATATATCACTGATAATCACAATTGTATTCCGCAATATCCCAGTTTCCAGCAATAAACTGAAACAGAAAGTTTCCCACAAAAATAAAAAAAAAATAAAAATAAAAAGTAAAGTTCAGCAAACTAAAAAAAATATCTTCATTAGGCATTTACCTCCGGCACTCCCAGCTGAACACCATCTTTGTCAACAGTCGAAATTTCGAATTCGTTGTCAGCAACGCAATCATGATAAATACTTAGTTCTAGACTTTTACGCAATATGTCAATAGCCTGGAAGAAAGTTTTCAACTTACTTCACTGATGACTTCCGAAACACAAGATGCTCTAAACTTTTACGTTTAATCTAAGTAATTTAGTCACCCAAAAAATCTATCAAAAATACCTGCTCTTTTGATAATTTACCATCGTTTTTTCGTTGTTCTGTCTCAATGACCTGATTTAGCAGCATAGCACCCATACCGGTCGCAACACTTTTTGTCCGATAAGCTACTCCCCTGAAAGAAAAATAAATGCAGTTTCATCTACTAAAAACGAATTTTTTTGAAAAGAAGAAAAGAAAAAAAAAAACTCGAAGAATATAAGAATTTAGGGAACGCATTTCAAAAAATTTTTTTGACGGAAGCTGTTTACAGAATCTAAAGGTACCAGACATAGTTGATTTGCATACTAAAAATAAAAAATACTTGAAAATAGATACCTAGAAGTGATAACACCAATAAACGGTTCAAGTTGATCGTTTTGGGTTTGCAATCCAGCAACTACCAATGTGTTCCAAAGTGGATTCATTCGTGTACGACGATAATAAAGCAGCGATGTCAGAAAGCCGTGCAACATTTTTGGACTTAGATCAGCATTAGGATCGTGTGATTTCAGCTCATACGTCTGCACAAAAAATTAGTAACCTTAACATATTAATTTCAAATCAAAAAGTTATTCCAAAGAAAGAACGCACTTTTGTTTTCAGTAAGTACTTTAAAGAGAGCTAGACAAGGACGATAATTTCTAAACCTTTTCAAAAAAAAAAAAAAAAAAATGGAGAACCTGTCTTTCAATGACATTTTGCAACCATTGGAAATCAGCATGATCACCACCGAAAGCAATAATGACACGATTATTCACACGATACTGACGAGTTATGTGACGGTATTGAGCCGTTTTACCGTATGAAACAAGACGATCGGTCATCACGGCAACACCATCATCATATGCCAATGCACAAACCGATGTTCCGGTACATGTCGGATTCCTGAAAAAGAAGCAGGAAACTCAACCAACTGTTACATAAAAATTGAAATCCAATAATTAACCAATGTCCCAAAACTTTCATAAAAATGTTCAAGATGTATCATATTCTTATAATGCAGTTACTTCTTTAAAACACTTTTAAGTCTTTGTAAATGCATGTCCCCCTGACAAAGATCATCTAATCAGAGAGAAAACGATAAAAAAACTTACACGGTTGCTTCGACTTCCGAAAATGACAAACTCTTTTGAGTATACATTGTCCGAATATCCTGGAAGGCAAACAATAAAGCACAGTAGTTTGACACGAATAGCAAAGGTCAATATGCTTGAACTGCTTATTTATTCAAGCCATTTGAAAAACTTCCTACTGGTTGAGAAACGCAAAATTTAATTGGGATAAAGAAATGAAAACACACATGTGCAGAATCTTTCTGAGAACAAACGAGAAAGTTCTCAGAGAAATGGGTGCATCGCTCATATTACTGGACTGATTTCAGTAATTAAAATATACTTCGAACAAATATAGCATTACGGAAGGGCATGAAGGAAATAATAACAAGTCATAAAGACTTTGTATTTGTTGGACAAACATTTATTAAGAGAGCAGAAAGAGCCTAAATACAGAACAGCAAATCCAAGCTGTATAAGAAAATTTTTCACATTTAATCAGTTTAAACTTTATCCGTTATGGAAAGACGATTCAATTTAACACATGTCATTTTACAGAATACAAAATACGACGAATAAAAAAAAAAGAATCAAATTCAATTTATATAATACAAATTATTTTGAAACTGAGTGCTCATTCACTAAGAGTCTTCCCTTTTAAATATAAATCCAAGTTATGACCTCAGGATGATACAATAACAACGATTCATCACTATTAAAGCTAATTACCTTTCAATAACGAGAAAATCAACAATGAAGTTTTAATCATACAAATAGGGAACGTAACCAACAATGGACTGTAAAACAAAAAGGAAATCACCGAATGAAACATACAAGCAAAAATACTGCAAGATAAACTCGGGGTCAATTCGATTTCCTACAATCCCATTATTCCGGAAATAAGCGCTGTTGCAATTGCCGCTGAACCATCATGTTCACGATAACACCACGGTATCTTTGTAGTAAAATGGAAATTGTGAGCTGAAATTTGTAACAAAGTAACAAAAATTCCATCCTCAACATTATTAGAGTCGTTTGAGTGTTTGCATAAAAACTTCAACGATGTTAAGGGCAAATGAGAAAAGTAATACGACCTAAAATTTCAGAAAACTAATTTGATAAGAGCCATGAAATTGATAAGTTCGAAATAAAAAACCAATAAACAAATCAATGTAATCAAAGGTCGTAGAAAATTAGTACTATTGGAAAATCTATAAGAAAAAGCTATTAAATAAAAGAATTAAAACAAAGAGTGACGAATGCAAAGTAGATATTAACCATAACATGATGTTTTCTGAAATTTTCTACTATGTTTTCTTCTATGTCCTTCGAAGTGCAACGACGACAAAAGCCTAATGAGGAAAAGCAGCCTTACATAGAACAGACGAAATTGGATTTTTAGTAGAATGAATGCATTTTTGTTCTTATTCGACGACACTATTTTCACGTTTAACAATGCAATATTATAGAAATATTATCCAAAGTATACAACTATTGTGAAGATTACTTTTCCTTTTAGTTTATCTTTCAGTTAGAATAGACCTTTTTTCTTTGACGGTGACAAAACTTGAACTTATTTTTTTGAAATACAATATAAAGCAATGAAACACATATTTATATTATGAGCCTCTCAAAACAGAAAGCGAATGTTTCTTGTGTAAGGCAAAAATAAAAGTCAACGAACTTTTACAGTCCTTTCGTTCCGTCGCAGCTCTGAAACGACAACAATTCCTACAATAAACGAATGTGCAACCCTGACTGGCTGGTAAATCACAACGTAAACACTTCGAATAAGTTTGAATCTTGCACTGTTCCTTGCGATCTTCAATCTAGAATTCGATGTGTATAACAAAATCAAAATAGAATCCCTAAATGCCTCAACGAAAGGTGCTATTTAAATCTTCTGGGATGTTTCTGATTATGCTTCTTCTTTGAGAATATATATTTTCATCAAAAAGGGGCAGTTTTATAAAAGGATTTATAACGAGATAAGGTCAACTAAATAGGCACAACTTTTCAGTAACTGTACTATTAATGATTACTTACTTTCCGCTTCTCACGCTTACGTAACTGTCTCTTTGAAAGACCAGTCTTCTGAGCCAAAGCATCAAGCTCTGCCCGCCGTCGTTCACGATACACCGAATCAGAAACAGATGAATCATTGCGCATCGGACGATAATAGGGCTTACAAATCCAATGAGGCATCAATGCAGGAGAGGTAGCCAAAGCTATTTCTTTCAGTGCTATAAATAAAAAAATTGAAGGAAAAAATTTTTTTCTTCTACCAGATACAGAAAGGGAGCCTAAGAAAGTTCCGTTTTCATAACAAACCAATACAGAGTTAATAAAAAATTGATCTAGAACTAACAAAACCAAAACATCATAGTTGCAAAATAATATAAAAATGTCTACCTGTAAATTCCAATCCTGAGCTTGAAACTGACTTAGAAACACGCCTTTCCAAATCATCCATAATTTGACGAAAATCTTCTGTAGTGCAGACGTATGATAAACGTTCACGTAAATCGCTGTACTCTAATAAACTGAAAACAATTCCATGTCACAAAAAATCACAAATAATTATGTTCAAAATTTATGACAAACTACAAACACTCCAATTCATAACAGAAATAATTTATCAAAATATAGTACTAATGGAAAGATAGAAGCAACAAAAAATTTCCAGAGGCTCCAAAAAGTTTAAAGAAATTTGCATGACATTGACCACAAAGTTCGATGAGACGAAATGAAAAAAGCTATCACTTAAATAAATTAAATAAAGTGTACAACAGTAAGCCTTTTTCCGAACAGCCAAAGCGATTCGACTATTCAGACAATAAGCTCTACTAAACTGATAAGAATGAATCCTATCAGTAATGAGAGAAATAATAGAACACAACAACAGCAACAACCAAACCTGTGGTGGCATATACGGAACAAGTGAGCGCGGACAGCACTAGTAGTAGATTCATAACGTTCTGCAAAATCCAGGTACTCCCGAGCTGCAGTCCAATTTACTTCGTGTCGTTTTTCAAATAGGTATGGATTTGAAAGGATACCTTCTGCACTCATTATAGCACTTGCACCCGTTATTTCTAAGCACCGATCAACATCACCGGGTAACTGAATAACAAGTCACTCAACAATTTCTTTCACTTTTTTATTAGATTAAAATCTATCTATCTATATATATATAACAATTTCATTCAGATCAGGCATATTTAAATTGAAATTGAAATTCCAATTGCACTCATATTTATTGCTCATCAATGATGCCTCAAAAAAGCAAAGAAAAAAAAAACCTGAATATTGCCGTTTGCTAAGACCGGCACATCAACGGCGCTTACGACGGCGCGCATTGCATACCAATCCGCTAGACCAGTATTCGGACCTCGTTGCTCTCGAGTTCTTCCGTGAACAGTAAGCATACAAGCACCTGCTTTCACCAACGCTCTGCAAATGTATATTTTGATTTATCAAAGCAAACAGTCTTCATAATTACAATTTCTATCCTTTGAAGAAATTATTCCATAAAGACTAATAAAAGTTATATTATTAAAACATTCCCATGAATGCAGTACAATGGATTAATAACATTACCGATAAATCATTGCTTCTTATATATATAAACATATACCATTTTCACATGTCGGCAGAAGAAAGATATTTAATTTTTACTGATATAAATTTCATTTTCTTAAAAATTCTTGATAGGATAATTTGAAAGTCCACTCACCTGGCATACGCGACCGTTTCATTAATATCCTGCAAAATTCGTATTTTGCAGGACAGAGGTAATCGTGAATGCGAATGTAGCAATGTAATCATTTCACAAATCAATTTTAAGTCTTCCTGAAATGGACGAACACGTGATAAAATAACAGTCAATATTAGTACTTGAAATGAAACCTGATAAACCTACAACTGTGGATAACTAAAGCGCCAAAAATCTTAGAACAGATCCTAGCCAAGGTTAATATGAGCAACTTTGTACTATAAATCAGTAAAAAACAAGTTAAGTCAGTCAAATATGATTCATTAGCTCCTTCTTCCCGATACAAATTTTCTAACAAAACTTATATGAAGTAAACTTGGAATAAAAAGGAAGTTGAAGTTAAAATTTTCGGAAAAACCTGCAAATACGCGCCATAATGTCCACGTTTGGCAATAAGTTGAGGGCAACCCAGGTTCAAATCTACTCCATCGCAAAAGCTTTCAACTAACTGGCACGCGTTTAGTAGTATCACCGGATCATTAGCACAAAACTGTACAACAAGAGGTCGATCATCAAGACATGTCGACAACGCCGTACGGCGATAAGTAGCGTCGGTCACAAAAAGTTGCGCATGAATCATTGGTGAAAAACAAAGATGCGCACCATGTTTTCGTAGCATCATTCGGAATGCGAGCTCACTAAAATCAATCGCTTCTAAAATAAGCTATTTAAATCTCTCTATATCATTGTACTCCAGTGCATGAAAATGCATCAAAACTAAACATTTCTCACGCACTATACATGTGGAAGCCGTCAAGCACTAACATTAATAACTCGCATATGATTAAATTGATCCATGATGAGTTTAAAAATGGAATAACCTTTGGTCAACCATTGGCGCCACCACATAACGAATCCCTTTGATTCTTTCTCGCCAGAATACTTTTTTGATTAATTTGTGGGAATCACTGAGTTCTGGTGGATTTCCCTCACATGTAACATGTTTCCCCACGTGTAGGATAAATCCATTGTTGCCATCTTCCATGTACTGAGGAATCGGCCACCTACAACTCGGCCACCATATGTACTCCATCTCAAAATGAATACACATGCCACTTCTGGCGATATTTCCGCTTTACTTACGTTCAGAACTATCAGTAAAGGTATTAAACAATCTTTGATCGAGATGATTCATGCCAACCTGACCAGCAACTAATGCAGGACACGGAACACTGGCAGAAGCAATCATATAGAAGTGGAAAATCGAATTGCGTAGACCAACTTGCGATGGGTTAATGGCCTTGTTGCAATTAAAAGTGACAAGACAAGAGGGCTTGATGTGTACATCACTGTCATCACTAGGTCTTAAAGGGGACATAGTGGACGTCAAGGTGAGTCATTCTTGGCTCAGTGCCTGTCTTCTTCACATCAGCACAACATCTCAAACCTTCCCTTCATTTAGAAATAAAATGATGAAATGCTTCAATGTTCCTTCCGTTTATAATTCAATTTTAACAATTCAGAGTTCTTTTCTTTTCTGTAATGATTTATCAATAAAATTTAGGAGAGATGAATGAATAAATTTATCAACAACTGTAATGTAAAATGAAATCTTACATCAATCATTTTCAGTTTGTTACATATCAAAGAGATGAAATACCTGAAAGTGCCGCGGAAGGACAAGTGACATTGCTGAGGTTTAATGGGCACTCACAATTCAACAAAAATACATATCTTATTTCACAGTTCCTCTCGAATTCTCCAAATTAACTCATTTGTCAACTATTTCCAGCGATTCTCCAATAACTCAGTTAGTATTCATTTTTCAGTATCATTAAGCGTTTCTACGTGTCAGCTGTGAGTGCCAGTTTGTCCGCACAAATCTGTGCGCTAATGAGTGGAACTCTCTTCAAGCCTTATATATGTGAGCTATTAGCGCATGTCAGTCTGTCCGCATGAAACTGCATGCATACGAGTATCTGTTTACATACAGATGCGCTTGTTTGGTTTGTGGCGTATTTATCTGTTCGGAATTTTATACTTGCCATAAGATTGGCTTCATCTGTGTTTGTTTGTCGTTGTGTACATGAAGGGGAGAATGTAAAACGTAAATGGGAGTGTTTGTCTGTCAATTTAGCAAGTTCACTAGGTATCTCTGTCTTCTATATTTTTCAGCAAGACAATGGATGTATGTTCATAGTTTTCCATTCAACAACAACTCAGTCAAAGTGTGATGGTTTGATGGATTCATCGATCGTAGTGATGGGAGTGAGTATGTCTGTCAATTGTTACTTTCCCTTCTAACTTACAGTTCCAATTAAGAACTTGAAATGCGTCAATCTGATTCTGACAGATGTAGTCTGCAACGTCGCAGAATATTGGATGCTGGACGGAAACGTTGTTTACGTGAGGATAGTGCTTAACGATTACTGGAACAAGCAAGGAATCGCGAGGCACGTCGTAAGCAACGGGAAAATCCTAAATTCCGAGAAGCAGAACGTGCTCGAGCACGTGCTTATTACGTACGTCCTTGTATCATAGCATTTGATGATAGTGCGTTGAGTAGCTGGAATTATTTAGAACTATTAACTTAACTGAAAATGAATATCAACTTACTGAAAAATTAACTTTTGAAAACTTTCGTAAAACGTATTACATGATAAAAGATAAAAGAGCTTGTCCTTCCAGAATCAATCACCGAGAATATTCTTGGCTTTTGTGATCATTTCAGATGTCTCTTTCTTCTAAAGCACCTAATGAAGGTATTATATGTGGTTCATGCGGCTTAATCTTAAAACATGTGGAAGCTCTTCGAGCACACCGTGCTGAGTTCCATCCCAGACAAGTGCTTTGCTTTTCCATATATCAGGATTAATTTCTTATACAGATCTGTTGCTGATTCTCTCGTTATCCTTTGTGAAGCCACAAATTTATTTACAATTTGGTTTGCCAGTATTATTCCTCAAGATGGACATAATATTTATAATATTTCTGTTCTCATAATAATTCCTATTTTATCATTCGAGTTCAAATTATTGATTAAACCTTGACTTGTTGGCAGAAACAAATGCCTGCATATCTTTTTACATTATTTTTTTATGCTTAAAATTAGGTTATACAATTTGGGTTATTTTATTACAGAGAATGTCCCTTGAAAAATATTTCCAGCTCTTCCTCAAGGGATGTACCACCGTCTAGCGATGGTAGCACTGTTGGTTTCAGTAAATTAATGATGCATGCGATTAAAAAGGAAGGTAATTTATGCTGAATTCCTTATTTTATTGTTGTTCCAAACTTAATTTTCTAAGTTTTAGGTAAGGTCTGAAATTTTCAGACTCAGGTAGTAATAGAAAAGTGTTTGTGGAGAACCAAATAAATACTTTTCTAGGATGTTTTGATCGTTTTGGTATGTATGGCTTTTAAATTTTTTAACACTGCGTGCGTTATAGTCATGTAGGCCATGACTATAACTTGCAGTCAGATCGCTAGGGAACATACAGTTCTGTTTTAAAACCCATCATCATCAGACGTATCAATTTATACTCATCAACCAATGAAATTTAGATTTTTAGTTCGGAGAGTTATGTGAATATATTCTTGGTGCGGAGAAAACCGTTGAGAAACTTGCAGTGTATGGAGCTGCTTCCTCGAATTCCATAGAAGAGCAAAAACTATCTGTACCTTCAGATTTAATTTCTATGTTGAGTACGCTTTTCATATTACTTCTTTATCATAGTTTTAAAATCTATAGATTTTCCTTGAAATTTCAAAGCTGAATGGAAATTTCTGCAGAGCATTTCATATTGCGTCGCATACCGCCCGCGTCTAGTGATTTAACAGGAGCTTCGGAAAAATCAAATTAAACAGGGAAAATTGCGTGAAGCTAATAGTGGCAGTACAGAGAAATAAGTATTTCATTTAACAGAAATAAAAGTTTTTAAAATTACTTCCATCTAAGTTTTCGTATTCTTTTTTCTTGCGATTTGCGAAAACTACATTTGATTCACGACAGGGGAAGATGTAACATAAAGAAAGTAACGCTGGATCAGTAAAACCATGTTACTGAAATAGAGTAGGAAGGTTAGGGCGGTATAAGAGTAATGCAATATTGATATGGGTTGTATTAGTGGAAATGAGTGACGAATTTTTTTGTTCTTGCGAAAGAAAAGTTGTTCTTCCGGTTCTAGGTGGAGTTAAGTAGATATCGTTGTTCCAAGGAAGGTAGTTTGAATTAAACTCAAGATTTGATTTTTTTTTTTTTTTTTTTTTAATTCCAGGATTGATTCTTGTTAGCAGTGGTGTTCAAAAAGCTGCTTGTTATTGAATTGCAGAACTTTTTAAGTCTTTGATAAATTTATTTATGCAGAAAATGGTTGGTTTTCCTATTCCCTTTTCGTCTACTCTTGCTAATTTCAGTACGATAGAAACGAGTTGTTATTTGAAGAAATTAGAATTCTCTGTGTTGAAACACTGTTGTTCTTTCGATTAGTAACTTTTTATTCCGGAAAAAATTATCTTCTGTGCAATACTGTATAGTTTTTCGGTATAGATATGTTTATTGTGCTAATAAGGCATATACATTTATGAGTTTTAAGTAGTTAGTTTGTGTAACTGCTCAAATTGAATAGTCATTTCTAATAATGATTTTTCAGTTGTATCATTACTGTTCCAGACATATGTATATATTTCATAAAAGTTGCATGTTTTGATGTATTTAAACATGTGCTTGAAAAAAACTTTTAGAATTGTTCTGAAGTTTCAAAAACTAAAAATGTTCTTTTTAAATATTTTCCTGTAGCATGAGAATATTTTAAAATATTGGGATTCTTTTAAGATAACGGGAAATTAATACGCTTCGAGGAAATTGAAGGATTCGTTTCAATAACCTGTCAGTAATTTTGAATTTTGAGTTATTCTAAGGTTTTATAATAAGCAATGCTAAGAGGAGTCTAAATTTATTGTATATTTCATTTTCGAAGGTGCTTAGTATGTCCGTTTAGAAAATTCAGGTGTTTCTACTAATCGGTATGAACCATAATATAATTTACTCTTTATTTGTGTTATTTGTTCTTGTAGATGTTGCTAAATTATTTTCACTTGTTATATCACGTAACATTTGTTTTTGCTTTTTTTTTTTCGTGTCTTGATAATTGTAACAATATTTTATAGTCGATGGACATTAAATAGTTTCTACCCTCAACATTAATTTCTTCGTCGTTTTGCGTAATGAAATATGTTATTTTTAGAAAAATCTAAAGTTCCGGAAATTCGTAGGTGCATCTTTCTTGGACATACAACAGGCTTTAGAGTATGGCATCAGTGTTAAAAAATGTTAGAGTTAACAAGAGAAAATTTCCGATTATTTGATGGGTTTGAAGTAACGGATGTAACTTTTGCAATTAAGGCGGAAGAGATTCATTGATAACTCGGAGAATAGTCGTGATGTCTAACGATGTAATGAGGAAAATGATGACATCTTGTATTCTCAGATTGCGGACATGAACAAGAAGAATTCCGACTGGTTGAGGATAAAATCGAATCTTGCAAAATTATATGAAAATCAATATTTACGATGTTAAAGTCTCAGAGCGATTGAGACATTTTACGTGGTATTATCTGGATTATACCAGATGTTTATTTTCACTTCTTCAGATTTTGGAAAGATCAGAGGTGCAGTCAAAGATTCTTTATGGACACTCAAAGCAATACATCACCTGAGCCAATCCAGGATAAAGATGAGAAGTAGCATTCTCTACAACTTTGTTTTCGATTAAAAATGTTTAATTGAACTAAGTTAATGTTCGTCCATCAAAACGAGGAACGTTCGTTTGATTAATGTTTTGATATAAAATGAGAGGTTTAACTGTATTAAAATTTAGACCGTCGGAAACCTTATCAAAGCAGATGGACGGTGATGAGTTGCAAAAGCAGTTGCAGATATCTCAAAAGCGTGAAAATTTAGCTAATCTGAGATTGGCAGTTAAAGAGAAGCAATTACGCGATCTATTGGTTTGTCTTGTTAATTCGAATGAAGTGCAAATATTTATTCTGATAGACTTGAATGCAGAATCTGAAAGATTTACATCCTCCAGTTACTGTTAATGGATTAATTTTCGACTGTTAACTTATTTCTGGAATTTGTCATACTTACCTTGAATATTTGTCATATTTAAAACTATATTTCATTTCGAAATTTCTTGATTTTATGGCCTAAATTGAATTAAATATGTACTAAATAGTTTTTCATTATTTTATGAACATATATGGGTTTGGATATGTTTGCAGTGTCCGTGTTATCCATAAATTATCACTTTTAATAGTTCTTAAAATCTGTTCATATTTACTGGTCAAACCAGGTATTCTCAAGCTTACATATGAAAGTTGTCTTATATGATGTTAGTTTCATAGGATGAAAATGAGTCGATGAAGCGTAATGCGAGTGATGAGAATAAAGCAGACTGTACATTAGTTGATCAAGCAGTTGGGGTGATGTTCTCAGCAATGCGTGATGAAATTCGTAAAGCGCGTAAGGATGCTAAATTAGCGACACTTGAATTAAGGGCTCTTAAAAATGGATCAGAAAGGCTAGCTGTTCTCAAACATTCCTTTATTCTATTTCATTCAAAATACCCTTATTTGTGAATTGTTTAATTTTAAACTTCTTTAGCAGTGATACGAAGGTATTAGCAACACTGTGTAAGAAGCTAGAGAAAGAGAACGCCGAACTTAAAAATGAAGCGACCAGAACAATTCGTTTAGAAACTATGTTAAGCTATTGTCGAAAAACTGTTGAAGGTTTAAGAAAACGATGTCGTGGTAGGTTAAAATCACTTTTCAGTTTGAAATTATTTATTAATTTTTTTCCAGTCCAAGAATTCTTTTCCCTAATTTTATGGGGTTTTTTTGTATGTTTTCTTTTTTCTACACTTGATGAAAATATCTTATTTGAACAACTACATCAAGTTTTCAAGACTAATTTCTGAATTGTGGTAATTTTTAACTTTGTTATTGACTAGACGAATTTATCACTTCTTGCACATCACCGTTTTTTATATTAACTCAAATTTAAAATAAATTATCGTAGATTTTGGAGATATTTTGGCAGAACGTGATGAAGAAATAAAACGCTTGCAAGCAGAATTAGCTCGTGCACATGAAGAAAATACACGGTTGCAGAAAAATGCTGATGGTACTCGAACATTACAAGCACAAGGAGATAACCAAATTTTGGAACAGTATGGTGCATTCTTTATTTTCTAATTATTTCGGTGTGTAATATTAGAGGAAATAAATTAGATAATTTTCATGAGTTACAAATTGTTTAATTAGTAATAATTGTCTCTTTCTCTATAAACTCTGGGAAATAAATGAAAGAAGAATGAAAATTCATTTAAAAGATTATTACAGGCATCGATCATCATGGCACTGTCAGCGTTGTTACTAATGAAAACGTGGAAGAAGTATTTGTTTATTTATATTGATAGGACGAAGTAGTCCTTACTTGATATTAATAGATTTAGAGTTGATATTCCATTTTTATCATATTCACGAAATTATTTCCTATCGTTATGTGAAGGATGATCAAATTTCCGTTTTATTTATCAGGTTGTGTCGGTATCCAGTCGAGAATCAGCGCACGAAGAGGTGGAATTTGATGACCAAGTCGATCGAGTGTTAACACCTGGTGCTAGTGCTGTCGAAGCAATCAATGTTTCCAGTCCTGAGTCTGTTCACGAAGCACCCGAACCAGAAACTATATCTAGCGATGAACAAGATGTTATTGATGTATCATCTAGCAAAGATTCATCCATTATTTAGATATTCACAGTATTTTTAGTATGTCATTCTTAATCCATAGTGAGCTTAATTGCAAAAATTTCGAACTTTTTGCTGTAGAAATTTCGTTTTGCTTATATAATACTTTTGAAGAGATCTATTTTCAGTCTTCTTTAAGTGCATAAGTGGAAAATTTATTATAAAATATATTCATTTATTTACATATCGAGATCGCCATAATCCACTAATTGTGTATGTCAAAATTAGCTCTGTTATAGTTAAATTAAACGTCTAATAAATGATCAAACAAATAAACTTATGAATTTATGATAATTCTAGCGATACAGTGATTATAAAAAAACAGTCTAAAAAGTTCAGTCTAAGTAAGTGCTTGCGAAGAAGTGGTTCAGCTAATGGTCTGTTTTACTTTAAATTAGAAATTCGATGTTATGCTTATTATAATCAAAGAATGAAAAGCTGATAATTTGTACATGTCAGAAACGCTTAGAACCAGAGGGGATAAACACTTTTTCAATTATTATCGTTGGCTTGAGATTTCGAAGTACAATCTGGTGATAGCAAATAATGTTATTGTGTCTCTGTTATTCGTGCTGCTTGGGCTGAAGAACGAAATGATGAACGTATTATACGGCCATTAATTGGTTGAACTGCACGAATTGGTAACATCGTTTCCTCAACTTCACATTCGTAACCTTCACGTTTCAGTGTACGTAATTTATCCAACTGCAAAAATTTAATAGAAAATTCAAACTCATCACTTTCTTTTTTCAATTTCCCAACTTAGAAATAATACCTGACTCGAAGATATCCAAACAGTAGCCCTGAAAATAATCCATTGAACAGTTTCTCTGTACGGGTGTACTGTCTCCGAACCGGTGTATGTCCAGAATTCCTTCATTTTTTCTATAAGAAAAATTTGAAACAAATTTGGAAAATTGAAGTGTAGCAAATTAATTTATCGAAATCAGTAACTAGCTTTTACATTTCACGTTCATTTTTCAGTCTGTGTTATCATAGGTGTAATAACTAATGAAAAATCCTATAGATTGGTTAAAGTGATTCAAAGAAAAAAAAGATATACCTGAAGAAGGCAACATATGAGGCAAATTGACACCGTAAATCGCACATTCACTGCCTTTATAAACTACCTGCTTTATGCCATCAATTATTGTTGAAAATGTTGGATTGTCGTCATGCGATTCCTAAAAAATATATTTTAGATAGGACAAAATATTTAACGATCTGAATGGCAATACTATATCAATTCAGCTTTTGAATAATTTTTTCAATAATTAATTACTAACTCTCACCTTAATAGAATCCTAATTTGATGATGTTAAAAGAAAATTGCACTAATATTTCAAATTTTCAAGCAGATCAGGGAAATACTTTGGCCAGGCTTTGATGCTACAGTTGAGAACAAACTTTGTTTACTACTCATGAACTTTATTCGTTTTAATAAATAACTGTTGAAATATGATTATATAAGCTAACATTTAGCAATACAGCCACACCCAGTATTCCATTTGCTTCCTTAAATGCCATCTCTAGATTCGGGAATCTCGTGTTCCGATGAATGAATTGTATCTCTCCGGCATAACCCACTCCGCCAATAGTATGTTCACTCCCATTCATAGGTTCCGTGCCCCAGTGGAAATACACAGTCTCCAGAACATATCGTTCTTCACCCAAATGACTTGCCGACAGTTCGGCCCTATTTGATGAATCAAGTTGTAGTTGCAGACTGTCACCCGCATTCTTTAGTCGTGTCTCACCATTCATCGGATAATTTATTCTGAAATAAGGAAACCATTGTTAGCTTATCATATCAACACTTTTTATCAATCGTAATTATTTGCTAGAAGGTTTTTTTAAGGTTAGTAAGCATTAATTGTTCCAACAAACTATTAATTGTCATTCGAGAAGTTCTACTTTTATAAAGTTATCTACTTTTGAACTTCGATATTCACTAAGTTATCATTTGAAAAACTCAATTTCTTATTTTTTATTTGTTATTATTTGAAAACAATACACGCACCTAATTTCTGAATTCTCAAGCGTACTATCGAAAGTTGTAATTGTTGAGAGTATATCAATAGGTGATTGTTTACGATCTCCAGTTACCTGTAAACTGATTGTATTTGAGACTTCTTGGATGAATTATTTAAGCACTTAGATAAAAAAGGAAAAGTTAAATTGAAAAGCGATGTATCAAATGAATTAATTGACTAATATGTTAAACATCTAGTGATAATTTTATTATTATTTTTTCTGATGGTAATTTCTATGATAATTTTGTTCTGGCATACAAAACCAATTCATAGATTACGACATTCACCTGTAAGATCTTGCCAAGATTATCGAGTTGAGCAGTAGCACGGTTTAAAATTGGTGCCAGATTATCCCGAGCACGAGTTGCAGTTTGAAGCACAGAATTTAGCTGTGGCTTCACATTGTTCAACTGGGCTTGCACATTAGCTGTTAACTGACCCAAAAATGCCATTCTATTATTTTTTCTAAAATTCATTTTTCCTTATTTAACATTTTGCTTTAACAACTATAATTTATCGATTATTCTGTTATAAATTTAAGTCAACTAATCATAATCAATAAGATGCATATACGTGGAGTGAGTGTAAATTATTAAACGTATGGTTTAATAATTTAATGCTTTATCTATTTACGTTGCTTTTATCAGTTATAAGATTTGAATTCTTAAATTAATTTGTAACGGAAACGGCAGGCAACACTGAAACAATCCTTGAATTTCATCATCTCATCAACTTTCTGTTGATGAGATGAATATAATAATGAATGAAGAAGATGGAACTGGGTAGAGAAAAGCTTCGATGAGAGTGGAAAAGCAAATAACCGAATATCTCCCTAATTCTCTTCTTTAAAGAGAATTAGTACTTCTTGATGGATTTTGAAAATTCATTTTGTTGTCAACACGAAATGATGTCCATCTCTTCAATAACAGACTTGACAACATTAATTTCAATCCATGAGTTGATTAAGCCATTAATGATTCGAACTAGATCATTTGATCTTAAATGATCAAATTCCGATGTGAAAATCATTTATCAAATGTTTAATCGCTTATCCAAACTATTTTCGCTTTTCAAATTATTCAGTTGTGATGACGATGGTAAGTAATAAATATTTAAAAATGTAATTAAGGTATTTTGAACCTTTTCAAGTTTGGATTAATCAGTGTAGCTTCTTGTGCTATGTTATGAGAAAACAAAGTATGCATTATTTCTCATTATTTCGAAAACATATCTTTTATATAAGTAATGAAAGAGTAAAATATTTTCCCAAGAAAAAAAATTCATCTGATTGAGTTTAATACAATTCAAATTGTCAACGAGTTGAATAGAAATAAGTCTTTCAAATGTTTCATAATGTGTCACCATATTTATAATTAACAAAAAATCAATCTTTTATATTAAGTGTATGATTATATGTATATATTAACGACCGCTAAACATTTCAATTGAAATTTCGGAAAATGTATAGAAGCTAGTATTTTGTAATGATAAAAGTTGTCAGGTTAAAACGAATGAGTAAAAAAAAAGTAAAAAAAAAGCAGGAACAATCGAAAGGACAGTAAAACAATTTAAAAATTTCCACACATTTCGAAATGATAATTTGATGGTTCAAACAAAAATATTATTATTTGAAACATTTAATTTAAAAAAAAAAATTTTCTTTAGTATTAATATTATTTGAAATTAAAAAAACAAACATTTAAAAAAGTAAAAATATTATTTGGAACATTTAATTTCCTTTCCTTAGCCTTTTCCATTTCGTTAAATATTAGTAATGAGATAAAATATGAGGAGAATGGCCAGGAGGAAAGAAAGGATAAATTAATGAAAATTTTCAAAAAACTCCTGGAAATTTTGCAGCAATAGATAGTAACGTATTAACAGATAATCTTTTTATGAAAAGTAAGTGGAAAAAAATGCTACCGAAATGAAATGAAATAGCTAGTGATATTTATTACTAAACAATTATTTTAATATGTTGCTTACATAACATCAACATACAAATATTTGCTATTTTGTTCGAGGAAATAAAATGAAAATGATAGAAAAGCGAAGCAGTACGATAATTTTCATTATTTGTTGAACAAATTCGAATAGCAACCGTCATTTGATCGTTGGGAAAAGGCGGAAATATGTTTTGGTGAGTGGAAAGAAACGATGTTATCCGCTACTCATTTTGTCTTTTAAATTTGTTATGAACAGGAAATGAAACAAAAAAAAGAAAGAATAAGGGAATAGAAGTATGTGCTTAAGCTTAGGAGAGTATTGCCTAAGTTATGGCTATACATATATGATAAGAGTTAAAAGGCTATCATATATTAGTAGGGCAAAGAATTAAATTGAATTGCTTGCAAGCATTTCTAACTTTTAAGTAATCATTAAATGATAGGGGATAGTATATAAAATTCTCTAATGAAATAAATTCGAAATTAACAAAAAAAAGCTCAGAAAATATTAAAAATTTTTTATTGTGAAAAAAAATAAAACTTTTATAAAGCATTGATCATAAAAATAGAATAAAAATTGTTCATTTTTTTTAACAAAAATTAGCTCCAATGTATTTGAAAGCAAAACATATTTAATTATAGCAAAAATAAAAAAGCTGACTGCAGTATAAATATTAGTAGGTGACATGCTGATGAAAATAAAAAAGAAAAAAAAGACAAAAACATACTATCTCGGGAATAAACCATCTAACGTCTTGGAAATAACTTTTAAAATAACTTTGACTTAGCTATAAATTAATATGATCCATTCATTTGTTTGTTTGTGTTGATATAAAACCTGCCAGGCGGAATATGTCTTCTCTTTCTTTCTCTCTCTCTCTTTCCCTTTATCTACCACATTTGTTGTTTATGTTTGTTGATGAATGTGAAATAATCTATAAAGCATTGTGTTTAGTTTAGTTCATATTTAGCTTGAATGAAAATTTTCTTTGTAGGGAGATAAATGGAAATAGCCGTTTGCAAT